TCCACAACACCTATATAAAATAAATACTAAGGAAGATCCCTTCTGCGATTGCGGAAAAATAGGAGATTTGAACCACATGTTTCTGGGATGCACACTCAGATCTTTGCAAAATAATGAACTATATAATAAACTGCTTAAGTACAATCGCCATGAGAATTTCGTAGACGTTGTAGAGCGCATCCTGAGAGCACTGAGTGGTACTAAACGGTAATGGAAACTGTAATTTGTAACTAGTAATGGTTGTTGCATAGTAAAAAGGGGATAGTATAAACGCAGTCGTGTAATACTGGTTTTCTACTCAACTTTATTCTTTTTCTTGTTCGTTTTATCCATATACCTATTAGTATATACTGCTAACTCCCTATCTATTCCATGAGAGAAAATCGTAGCGATTAAAGAGAGAGATCCGACCGTCCGTGGTTTGCTTAGTCGTTTATACGCAAGCGCGTTAATTTTAAAAGGACCAATAGCGAGTAGCTGAGGCCTAAAAAGAAAAGAAGGAAAATAATACTTGAAATCGTGGTTAAATTCGGTAACCTGACATATTTACACAGGCAAGTCAAAGTCGATTTTAAAAATATATCAAAAAATATACCAAAATAAAAGCTAGCACGTTTCTGACGTTTCATTTGCTCTTTCAAAAGTAGCCAATCAAGAAATCTTTCACTTGAGCATGCGCATAAATAAGCAGGCACACCACAGTATAATGTTTGCTACGGGTTTTAGACCGTAGTTAGCAGTATAGAACTAATAGGTATATGGTTTTATCCAATTTCTTGTAAAACTTGTACAATTTATTATACTATTATAATTTATAATAATAATTATATAAAATGTATAAGAATTTTATGTAATTATTAAATATAGATACATAGTATAAAAAATTGTACAAGTTTTACAAGAAATTGGATAATATCGAAAATAATTACTTTCACAAATAAATTAACGACAAAAACGTTTCATTTTAAAAATATATTTAAAAAACATACAAATTTGCGGATTTAAAATTAGATATTAACTAATTCAATATAATTTAATACCTACATTTATAAACATAAATATAATACACTTAAATAGTACAATATTAAAATAGTTCACCATAACTTTAAATGTAAACCTACATATTATGAATAATAATTTAGACTTTAAAGTACTTTGGCCTATTAACAATACAATAAATAGTTCACAAACCTTTTTCTGAGAAATCCAGTCATTTTATATCGGTGGTCGGTAGCTCGCCGAACCCAATAGAACTTTCTCCATTTTCTGTAACAAAAAAATAAGCAGTTAATATGATAAAAATGATATTTGGGTTTAAATTATGTACGAATGTTAATTATATTTACCTTGAAAAGAAAGCATGACACAGCAATCTTGTCTGATTTCAGACCTTCCGATGATTGGAAATCTGCTTTGGAAAAATGGCGGTCGATGCTGCAACAATTTCTAAGTCATGTAGCAATAGAATGGTAGAATCACGTTAACAATACACAAATTATTCATTTATAAAACTCACAGCAAATACCAAGGCACTTTGTACAGTGCATTTCTTTATTAAATTATTAAATGTTCCGCCATTTTGTAGCAGGTGCAGATATTGACTTTATATTTCAGGGTTGTAGAGTATTTGTCAGGAGCTTCAAAATGATGTATCACAAGACACCCCTTTCTATTTAAATTTATTTCCCAAGATGGCGCCCAGTCGCCATCTTGAAATTTTCATCTATCAATTTTACTCCAAAATATAGTAATCATGCATTAGTTTCATTATCCCAAATTTCAATTTTCTAAGTTGATCCGTTCAAAAAATAAAAGGGGGGGGGACATTAAAGAAATGCACTGTATAATCGATAACTAACAATAGTTGGAAGAAACATTTATTCGGTTGTATTTCAAAATTTCAAAACTCTTCGAACTGCACATGTTCAAAAATCGTTAATAATGATCTACGGCATGTGGCGTGGGTTGCTTGCGCTGTTTCTCAAAAACGATCGCCGCGCCATCTACTCGCATCGAGTAAAACTAAATTGAACGTCGAAAATTTCTCATAAGGCTGTCCTGGGCCTGGAACTCGTCACAGAACATACATAAACAAGAAGGGACATCTCCGTGAGAATTTCGTAGACGTTGTAGAGCGCACTCTGAGAGTAGTAGCCGTACTAAATTAATGGGTGTTGCCTAGTAAAAGGGGATATCATGTAGAACTCTACACTAAAATTAGTAATATAGGTTTTTTATTCGATTTTTATCTGACTTTTAATATTATCCAATTTCTTGTAGAACTTGTACAATTTGTTACATTATTATAAAATGTATAGAATTTTGATATAGATAGTAAAATAAATTGTACAAGTTTTACAAGAAATTGGATAATACAAAAAGTACCTACTCTCATAAAATAAGTAAACACAAACACTTCTACTTAAAAATATATTGAAAAAAATGACAAAATTCATTAAATTTAAATAAAATCGCTAAATAAACCGAAATATTATGGCGGAACCAGAAAAATTCACTACGCGGTATAAAAACAAGCAATAGAACGTTAAGATTTAACTTTAACTTTACACAATTCTTCACTAACAATTCACTAACACTACTATACACAAAACTTATACAACTTACAGGCAATAACAATGCCCTTTAAACTCACTCGAAAACAAACGAAATAAATGAAAAAAAAAACTTTTCGGTTTTAACTTCATCTTGCACTACAAGAGAAAATATGCAGAATCGATGCGAATCAATACAAGACGCCATTATTGTTTTTGAAATACGGCGTTGAGCGGGTTGCTTGCGCTGACCTGAAATAAACTATTGTTGCGCCATCTATCAATAGTGCCGAAACTAAATGAACGTCTAAAATTTCTCATAAGGCTGTCTAGGCCCTGGAACTCGTGGCTACTGGCTCCATCGGTTTCGAGCGTCCATGAAACACCACTGCGCATGTTTTGCTATAGATGGCAGTGTATGAAAATGGCCTAGTAAAGTTAGTATGTTATCTATGTAAAGTCCATACGTTCTATTGGTCCGTTCCGGCCTTTTTTGGCGGGTTTCGAATTTTGATCTGTATGAAACATACAGGGTGACCCAGGGTCGCGTTAAAGTCCCATAACTTTTTACCTAATTGAGATATCGACTTGATTTTTTTTTCAAAAGGTAGGTACAATAATACTGCGTATTATTAAAATAGTTTCGTCTATATACAGGGTGGCTTAGTATTAGAAATTCACTAAAGTTACCTTTTTTTTAATGGAACCCCCTGTATATTATAACATTTTTGAATTCTTTAGTGAATTTTAGTGTGACTTTATGTACCATACATTGTACCTAAAACCAATCGTTTAGTGGTAATTCGACATTTTAGAAAAAAGTAGAGGTTTGAAAAAAAATGAATATTGCCGCTTTTGTAAAACTTAGAAGGCCGTGACTCTGGGTTATTATTAAACATGAAATGTACTACTGTGTGACAGGGATTCAGAATTGAATACTGTTTGTGTTCTTAGATATCGATACGCCAATTTACAAAATTTCAATTAAAGGTAACTTGATTTTTTTAAATGAAACTACCTACTTTTTTGTACACCATCTTGTAGGAAATTTTATTGCCTTTCTAACGATATAATATTGTCAATATTTTTACCTGCTAGTTTTCTCTTAATTCCGGAATTTCTTATAATTCGCGGTAATTTAGTAGTATTCGCGGTAGTTAGCTGTTGTTGGCCTAACACTATAGACATTGTCCTTAACAAATCCCCATAGGAAAAAATCAATTGGTGTCAAATCGCGGTGACGGGCAGTCCAACAACAGCTAACGACATGAAGATCCGGATAAGAGACGCTTTTCGATCAATTGATTAAAACATGCTAACGCGCTTTAAAAATTAGTTTTTAAGAAGACGTAATTGAACATAATAGCAATATCTTTGAGCATCTACTGTAAGAAAAATTATTGTGCTATCAAAAAAAACTGTTCTTTAAATTATTCCTTGTACATTATCATTATCTCCCTATAATCAAATAAATTGTAGTTGATTGATTGATCTGTATACTTTTTTTATATTTCACTATCTTTTATAAAATTTTTGTTTTATTTTAATTTAATTTACTATATTGAGCCACTTTGAACAGTACTATTGAAAATTGAAAATTACCGCGAATTATAAGAAATTCCGGAATTAAGAGAAAACTAGCAGGTAAAAATATTGACAATGTAATATCGTTAGAAAGGCAATAAAATTTCCTACAAGATGGTGTACAAAAAAGTAGGTAGTTTCATTTAAAAAAATCAAGTTACCTTTAATTGAAATTTTGTAAATTTGCTTATTGATATCTAAGAACACAAACAATATTCAATTCTGAATCCCTGTCACACAGTAGTACATTTCATGTTTACTAATAACCCAGAGTCACGACCTCCTAAGTTTTACAAAAGCGACAATATTAATTTTTTTTCAAACCTCTACTTTTTTCGAAAATGTCGAATTACCACTAAACGATTGGTTTTAGGTACAATGTATGGTACATAAAGTCACACTAAAATTCACTAAAGAATTCAAAAATGTTATAATATACAGGGGGTTCCATTAAAAAAAAGGTAACTTTAGTGAATTTCTAATACTAAGTCACCCTGTGTATAGACGAAACTATTTTAATAATACGCAGTATTATTGTACCTACCTTTTGAAAAAAAAATCAAGTCGATATCTCAATTAGGTAAAAAGTTATGGGACTTTAACGCGACCCTGGGTCACCCTGTATGTATGTAACATACTTAACGGCTTCCTTCTTGCTTTCTGTTGTTTTTGAGTTTTTGGTTAATTTATGCCATTTATGGTTTAAATTCGGACATTTGTGTCTTTATTCTATATTTACGTGCGAGTTGTGAGTTGAATATTGTTATTGAAATTCGTTAGTTATAGTTATCCTTTTTATTGTTTATTGTTTATTATTGTTTAGTGTTGTATTATTGTTTATCGTTTATTATTTATACATATAATATGGGTAAAAAGTGCATGGTGCAGAGCTGTGGCGAGTACACCATTCGGTAAGTTCATTTAATCATTGTAATAATCATTTAAATTGAGTTGTTGACGAATTTGATGAATTGTTCTTAAACAAATTTCTTTGCTTTAGGCATTGCTTGCCCAAGAATGAAAAGCAGGCTTTTCTTTGGTTACAAAGAAGTGGCAATGAAGACATGCCAATAGCAGAAAAAGAAAATGCTAAAATCTGTCCAAAACATTTTAACGAAAAATGTTTTTTGGAGTATGGACAGAAAAAACTAAAGAAAGGAGCTTTACCTTCTTTGTTTTTGCCAAGTATGTATTTGTTTCGTTGTATTTAATAATGTAATCTACTTTTATGATATAATTTAGATTACACTGCGACCGGGGAGGCAGGAGATAACTTTTATTTTGATATACAGGCTTCTACAGGATTTCATACCCCGGAAAAAAAAGGTAAACATAAATACATATATACGTACATAATGTAATACAATTATGTACGTATGTACATATAATTATATTATGTACGTAATTTTATACTAAATTGAATGATATTTCTAGCAAAGTACGAGATGCCGTTTACGAGTTGCGAATATTCTCCCGTAGGAAAAGTGATAACGCCACGAAAAACGTACAGCAGAACTACATCAGGTACTATTATATGGTGTTAGATGTTTTGTACATCTATATGATGCAAATCTATTATTTTTATAAATTAAATTTATTTATTATTTGCAGTTTTCGAGAAACAGCAGACAGCCACGTCTGCCACAGATTTGGGAGTCAGCTTCATACAATGGGATGAACAACAGCCTTCCACTTCACGTATTGATGACCCAAGGAGTTCCGTTATCCGTACGTTAAACGTACTACGTTTATTATTTTATCATACCTAATTTTAATGGATAAAAACCTATGCATATATTCTTTTTATAAAATATTCGAATGCTTATCTAAAATGTGTAGGTATCTCACAAATTCAATTTTATCCAAAATTTCCGTTCAGAAAAATTTAATTCTTAAATTGTTAAATGAGAGGATTTTATCGTTACAGGAAGTTATAAAAATAAAGAAATGCTACAAAGTTCACTCATAAATGTTTTGTTTTCATTCATAGGACCAAGAGAACAAATTGAACGTCAAAGCGCTGCACTGCGAGAAAGAACAATGCAAATACAGCAGTTTGATCAACCTAAAACTGGAACATCAAACCTTGTAGCATTAATAGAAGAAAATAGAGATTTTTTAGTTATAATTAACAACGCTAATGGTGTATCTTTGAACTTCTTTGCTTCTAATATGAAAAATCTGCAGTGCAAGCCTCAGGGACGAAGGTTTAAATTAAAGGATAACGTATTTGCGTTGTCCCTGTATAAACATAGTCCCCGGACATACAGGTTTTTGTCTAAATTTTTTTGTTTACCTACGCGCAAAACATTAACCAACATTTTAAATAAAGTGCCTTTTTTAACTGGTATCAACCCATCAATTTTTAATCACCTCAAAAACTCTGTTAATAAACTTGTTAGCGAAGATAAAAAATGTATACTAATGTTCGACGAGATTGCCCTGAAACCTGGCCTCGCATACAATAGACGGTATGATTGTGTCGAGGGCTTTGTGGATTTAGGTGGCAGTAATCGAAAGGTGCAGTTCGCAGACCATGCTCTTGTCTTTATGGCAAAGGGCATACGTAAGGCCTGGAAGCAGCCAGTTTTTTTCGAATTTTGTGAGGGCACTACCGCAACGGATGACTTGGTGCATTGCATAAAAACTGTAATCAACGAGTTACAACTGGCCGGGCTTACCGTACTGGCCACCGTATGTGACCAAGGAGCCACGAACCGTGCGGCCATCAATAAACTGTGTAAAAATAAACACGATGGTCCACGGTTATATTATGTTGCAACGGACAATAATATTTTGGAAATTGTTCATTTGTACGATCCTCCTCATCTACTAAAAGGTGTCAGGAACGGCCTTTTAACAAAGGACCTTCACTTTAAAGTAGATAGGGTTGAAAAGGTGGCTTCTTGGGACCATATTTTACAATATTACGTGTTAGACCGGCAACAGGGAGCTTATGTGCAGTGTACCAAGTTAACCGACGAACATGTGTTGCCTGGAAAAATCCGGAAAATGAAAGTGAAGATGGCTTCACAAATATTTAGCCACACGTTAGGCTCTGATATGCACCATAGAGCAAGGATCAGAAAGAGACTGAATTTGCCACTGTCCGATCCCGACTACCTCAGTCCCAAAGCAATGGACACTGCGGACCTGCTCCTATTTTTCGACCAACTGTTTGACAGTGTTAATGGTACCACAAGAGAACCTCCTCCCGGCAAACCTCTACACGCTGTGGTGACGAAAACGTCTAATCATCTCTCCTTTTGGACATCCGAAATTCATATTCTACAATCCATGATCTATCTCGCCAAGTCTACTTCTTCCACTGCCGTTTCGACTCCTAGAATCCCAACTTTCCCTTCTATTAGAAACTGGATTTCAACCGTGCATGGCTTCATTTATCTAGAGAAAAAATTGCTTCCACCATTGGATTTTTTTTCTACAAGATCTTTTAACCAAGATCCTTTGGAATTTTTTTTTGCTCAGATACGAAGTCATGCAGTGGCTAATACAAATTGTTCTTCGTTTATTAATGCCTTTAAATCACTATTGGTAAGTCGTTTTTCGTCAACACACAGTGTGGGATCTAATTGTGAGGAGGATCTGTCAGACGGACCATTAAACAGCCTAAAACGGTTTGTACTACAACAGGAGACTGTCCAGCTTCCAGAGGTAGAAGAGGCAATTAAAATCACGAATGTACAAAAGGCATAAGCCAGTGATTTTGCAACAGATTACATGGCTGGGGCAATTTTAAAAAAAAAATTTTGTCGATATTCTTGTGACACCTGTTACCAATATTTATCCTCCACTGAGCCATTACCGGAACATTTAAAGTCAAGGGAATATGAGGGATGCGCCCTTATTCACCCCGATTTTCTTTTCTCCTATAATATACATAAAACCACTAATTTTATTTTGGGAATATTACCTTCGGTAATTAATAAATATGGGTTGAAAAAAATCATTTTGGAGGAATTACAAAATCAAAATTTTCAGTTTCTTCTATGTGACGTGCATTCTACAAAAAAACATGACGAATTATTAAATATAATAATAAACATTGTAGTTTTCGACTACATAAAGTTAATTAACAGAGTTTTAAATGGTACAGATTTAAGATTGATTGGTAGTAACGAATTATTTAAAAGGGCCCATGACAAATATCAAAAAAGAATACCAAAAATAAAGAGAAATTAGACCATTTTAAAATACATATACCTATTTATACTTATATTTATATTATATTTATTTATTTATTTACCTACTTATACTTATATTTATATTATTTTTATTTATTTATTTAGCTATTGAAAGTTGTTTCTTTTATTTTTCCTACTCCAAATCTACAATTTCATAATAAATTTAGAGGAATTCTTTTTAACTGACCTACTCATTTTACACTAACTACATTTATAAAGTAAAATGTTTATTGCAGTTAAAAAGGTTTCCCTCTAAATTTATTATGAAATCCTTATTTAAAGTAATAATTGTGTACACAAGATTTTTAAATTTTGGCGCCAATTGCAGAACATTGTAAGTACAATTAGTATTCTGCATTTTATGTATAGACGCGCGTCACAGGTGGCGTTAGTAAAAAAATTGAGCTGTGAAATTGAGTTTCCCATCCATAGTGTTATCTGTGAGTGGACCTTTTAATCAAATACCTTAAGGCTAGAGTTCAGAACTCACCAAAAATTTTTTTGGGAATAGGCAACCCAAATTACGAAACCTGTCACTTTATTTCGGCAAATTTTCAGGTAGTAAGCTCACATTAGGGTAATTAGCATTTTAGAATTTTAGAATATCATAGGAATATCGATGTTGTAGGAAAATATATTTTTGAATATTTAGAAATCTCGATGCTTATAGAAACTTGTGGTTATTTTAAATAAATCACCTCTATTTTTTATATTTTTAGAATTATCAAGACAAGCTGATTCCAACGATATGTCACACTTACTAGTTTGTTTCAATAATAAGGGAAAGAAGTCATATGAACTTCAACGTCTTGTTTTGATCTTCCCTATCACCAATTTAAATAATGACTATTATATCGCTTACACCCTGTATAATATCAATGATAAATAGCAAGTGTGACACATCATTGAAATCAGCTCATCATGAAGACTCTAAAAAACTGTATTTTCAAAAAGAAATAATTATTAAATTGGTTTATTTAAAATTGGCAATATTCTGGCACCGTACTAACTTACAACAGGTATAACCTGAAGATCCAACCGCCGGCCAGCAACGGTCGCTAAAAAGTCGTAAAATTCGGAGATTATTGCCCCTTTTACCGGGCCATGCACCAGCCCAATTTTATTTGATTTATTAACAAATCTGATATTGGTACCTATCAAAGTGAAAACTTAAATAAAAATTATAGTCAAATCATTGTGTGTCTTTATAGTAGACATGTTGATTTTTCATTCAATTGTATCGTTTATACAATGTTTACCTAAACAGATTAGGCAAGTACATGAGTAGGCCCAATTTTTTTATAAGTAATCGCTGGTCTAATGGTTTCCTGGATTTCTGTTGCATAGTCGTCATAATGAATTAAACAAAATATTTTTTTAAATCTGTTCTAGAAATATCTAGAAATAAGTTTTTAGTTAAAATCAAATTTAAAGTGGACTATTAATTTATCATTATCTACTAAATTCCTAAAGGGGGGATGTAAATTGTATCTATCCCAAAATCTGAGAAAATCAATAAATAAATAAATAAAAAGAGAATAAAGAAATAAATAAAAAGAGAGTTTTTTACCACTTCCATTTTGTTTGACATTTTAACGCCACATATAGTATAGCGAAATGAACATGAACTTCTCTTATTGTTTACAGCTGATTTCAATAAAATATAAATAATGGGCAGTTCCATAAAAAATAAGGAAATTTGATAATTTTGAAGTTTAACTTTCAACTCAGGGTGAAATATACCTTTGACCTTGCTAGTAGCCACCCTACAAAAATGCTACCAGAACTTTAAAAGCATCTCTCGTAAAAGAGTAATGTATAATTAAGGCTGGGGTTTCCGCGACAAGGAACAACCTCGAGTCGATGCGTAAAGTGAGACAAAATAGTGCCTGATAAATGCTGCCAATTTATGTATTGCGGACAATAGCCAAACTCTCAAGACTAATTTTTAGAAACAAGCAGATATTGAGTTGAATAAATATCCGTAGCGCGTAAGCGCGTATCCGTAGGTAGTCGGTAGGGTTTTTACAGGGGTTGCCAAATATCGTTGTTTTATTATGTTATGAAGAAATTCACTTTCCATCCTCGATCTTGTTTTTGCTAAAAACTCTATTTATGATAATGAAAAGGAATAATTTTTACGTTCTTCAGGCACTTTTTGAGAGGAGTCCAGTGGCGTATTCTTTTTTTTAATTCGAGAATGCTTTAAGTTGTATTTTTATATGCAAAACGCAGCATATGTTTTTATAGAAATAAAAAAAGTCTTAGATAAATTTACTTGTTTTTATTTTTTAAAGTTTGTTTTTTTTGCTTCTTTTATATATAGGGGGTCTCTACAGGGTAAATTTTTCGCACGCATATTTAAAATAATTTCAGGAGCGATACAGTCTTTATAAAATTGCACCAATTTTGGCAGCATTACATGTTGCCAAATATTGTCGTCTTTTATTATTTCTTCTATGAACAATGGATTCCTATCACCTGAGTAGACTACGAAATAGGTTGGTTATTTAAATATGCATACATTAAAATTTAGTTAGTGGTCTTACCTCTCGAATTCATCGTAATTTTCTTGGCTGAAAAAATCGTAGCAACTCTCACCCTTTTCTTCACATTTACTAGTTTCGGAAGCGAGTTGACGTACATTACATTGCTGCAGTTGGCCAGTTTCAAAAACTTTTGAAACAACATCTTCTACAATTTTCTTGCAAGTCGTTGTTGTAGCTTCTTGCTTCTCAATTTTCCCAATAATTTCATCTAGTAATTGATGTACAATGCCTTTCGTCAACCTAGCTCGCTGCCAAATTGTATTGGACCTGGATTTTTTTGAGCGTTTTTTACCCAATTGACTCCTAAATTTCGGCATATCTAATAAATAATTAAAATATTAATAAATTAACAAATTAATAAATTAATAATAATTAAACAAATATAAGAGAAAGAAACAAAAAAACTGTAAAAATTTATATCGTAATACTTACTACTTACTTTTTAAAAAAATATGAACTTGCTGGAATACTCGTAGGATGAACACTTAAAACTACACGAAACTACACTATTATAATAATTTAAACAGTTTTAGGAAACAAACACTACAAACAATTCTTCTGATGCTGACTTATTTAAAAATGACGCGAAATTCGGTTGCGCTCAACTGTAATCTCTAATGAGTTTTCTATCATCATTATGAGTTGTACAGATATCTGCAAAGCGACATCTCTATTGCAGTGTCCAAATTAAGCACGATTTTCGAAAATGCAATGATGCCAGTACGATAGAAAAATACTGAAATTAAGGCAACACAATTCATTCAAAACACTATTCATGCGTTTCCGCGAAGGGTTTCTGTTATCTAGGCAGGTTGAAAGGATAATATGGCAATACTGTAAACCATTTTGTAATAATGGATGTGAATTTAATATTTAATTTTCTAAAGTCATTTTAAACGAAACCGTTGAATATTATGACAAAAGAAAGCGATTGATAATAACTTTAAAGAATTACGAATGCAGTGAATATAAATTTAAGTAGTTTTTAACATCAATTCTACAGTAAATAGAAGTTTATTGTGAAGAAATCGCGTTTAAGTTCATCAGAATAAAACATCATTTTTAATCATTTATATTGAATGTATGTTATGAAATATGTGTTTCATTTTTTACTTTACTGCATTCATTCATCTTTAATGAACCATAATTTGCAAACAAAATTTTAATTTTATGGACATATACGTCTAAAATGACTTTAAGAAATCGAGTGTCAGCATAGGGATTTTAGTATATGGAAATCCCAGCCTTAATGGCATGCATCGGTTTAATATTTCATAAAAAAATTAATAACTCAAAAAGTATGCATTTTTCGGTCCGTATTATTGCATAATACATACATACAAAATTTTATTTAAATTACATATGTGTCTAAACAAAATGCGACTACATAAATCTATGACCTAACGAATACTTTTGTGGCTGCTTTCATTATCTTTTTCATAAAATACAAAAATTAAATTTAACAAATAAAAAATAATTAATACAAGTGAAATTATCATTCGAAACCTAACCTCGATCGAGAACACGTGTCGCGAAATTCTCATCGGCAAATAGGATCGTTCAAAGCGTGGTAGTAGTGCTATAAACGACAAACGCGTAGGTATTCCAAACCCAGTAAACCGGTGTTCAAAAAATCAACTTCGAGTCTGGTGAGCGATTTTTAACTTTCGACCCATTGGGGATAACAATAAGCTATGGGGGAAGACCCCCCGGACAACAACTTTAAAAATGTACAAAAAAAAGGTACCAACAGAATAGGAATCACATTCAAAACGGCCCTAGACGCTAACAAATTCCTAACCAACAACAACTTCAGAAACGAAGGTTACATATCGTTTATTCCTCAAAGACTCCTAACATCACGAGGAATTATCAAAAACGTCGGCTTTTCCATAGAAAATGAAGACATCCTGGCTGAAACACGCCCCAGTCGCCCAGGCGCCCAGTCGCCATCTTGAAATTTTCATCTGTCAATTTTACTCCAAAATATAGTAATCATGCATTAGTTATCCCAAATTTTAATTTTCTAAGTTGATCCGTTCAAAAAATAAAAGGGGGGTACATTAAAGAAATGCACTGTATACATGATCTTTAAAAACAAATAATTTTAAATAAACATCTCTATATCTTTATAACATAACAATTATAATATAAGTAAAATATTTTCTAACCCAAACACTATTTTTAGGTCCTTGAGCTGTCTAAGTTGGGAGGCTCAAATAACTACAATTTTGTCAAAAGAGCCCTTACTTCACTGCTAAGTGATAAGGTAGCTGTAAAGTATAGCTGGCTGGGACGAAAAACAAAAAAGGATTTCCACAAACATTTCATTGCTAAACTGATAATAAGTAAGTATTACAAATTTAAAATTGTTGATTTTAAACTTTTAACACCCTGTATCTCGGTCGGATCGTCGGAGAAACGGATGCATGGGACTCCGACTTAAAGCGTTATCGGTCGAATTTACAAACACTAACAAATTACGATGGGGTATAAACTTAATATTAAATGGTAAATTATTGTTTCAGGTTCAGCTGAAGCAGCGAAGATGGCCGCCACAACAAAGGAGACCGAGACGTCAATACAAAACTGGCTAAGGAGAGCATCGGAGAGGAAAAATGTTATAAAGAAATTATAATTATTAAGTTTCATTAAAGTTTTAAAATAATTTTAATGTTTTATTTTAGTCTTAAATACGTCCGAAATTGTTCGTCTTAAAGACATACTAAACTGGATGTCCTAAAGACGTACAAACCAGGACGTCTTAAAGACGCCTTGATTTGTAACAATGTACGTCCTAAAGACGTCTTTAAAACATTTTATGGATATTAGCGTACATCTTTAAAACGTCATGAACGTCGTAAACAAACGTCTTTAAAATGTTTTTAAAACGTATCTGTGCTATCTGGGTAGTACCTACCTTAAGTAATATTTTAACTATTTGGGAACTGTTCAAAATCACTTGATTTGTCCAGAATCATTTTTAGAAATGATATTAGAAGCATTTGAAACAGTTCAGGACTGTCTAAAGGATCCCACAGACCAACGCGAAACTTTTCCGCCGCGGAACTTTCCGATGCTGCGAAATTTTCCGATTGTTAGATAGCGATTTTTAGTGACAAATTGGAGCGTGTGTGTAATTAATTATATGCATGATTAATCAAATATCATTAACAGGTACCCTAAATCTTTGATTATTTTATAATTTCAAGTGACACGAGTTCAAAAAGTAAAATTCATAGTTCGTAGATGATGATGTCATAGAGGTAACTACACCTTTTCCAGTTGTATATTAGAAAGCATTAAATGTATTTCAGAATAGTCAGATTTATATCAGAAAGCGTCAAACAGATTTCAGATTAGTTAAATGTAGTTCAGAATAGCCAAATGTATTTCAGACAACGTCAAATGTATTTCAGAATAGTCAGAATAGACACTTAGTGCCAATTAGTTATAAATAATAAAACGTCTGTTCTACATAAGTATTTAAACTAAAAACAATTGAAATGGAATGAAATAATTATTCAAATGAAGTTCAAATGAAGGTTTTTTTGTACTTCTTATTGTTATTATTTTTACGTTTATTTATTTCTTTTTATGTTTATAACTGACATGTTTTCGTCTCTCTCAGTTTTAATTCATAATTAGCGAAATTCTTAAGCAATCTTACAAACTTTTTCTCGTTCATTGGTTGTAAATTCGGATACATTGAACTCTCTGCATGTTCTAGCTATAATTTTGTCACATTGTCCATGAAGAATAAATAAATTCATAGGAACTTCATTTGAATAATTATTTCCTTCCATTAAATGTCCATTAAATGTCAAATTTGGATGACATTTCATGATTTCACAGCTACCTAATACAAATTCCCAAAATAATCTGATTTTTATAGAAATTTGCTTTTATTTCGGAAACCTCATTATTTAGGTATAGGAACATGATATACCATTTGAAAGAGAATTTAATTATCTTTTTGAATATTTAAAAATATACCGGGTGTCCCATTTAAAAAAATGAACTTATTAGCATTTGTATATCTAGCGATAAAATGACAATTTTTGAACAACCCTGTATAAATAAATAAAAAATCGATTATAGCGAACTAATACCTAATGCATCTCTAAGCTAATCCCAAAATTTCAGCTTTCTCCTAATCTAATTAACTCAGTAATCAACATTTAAATGGAGCTATGTTTTGAATAAAAAATTAAATAAAATAATGAATTTCTCGAAAAGCGCTAAAGATAGGTATAGGGAAGTATTATACAAAAATAATCGGAAAGCAATAGCGGAGCAAAAAATGTAAAAATATACAGGGTGTCTCATTTAAAATAACAAAGTTGCTGCTACTTTTCAATAGAAGTGGCAACGTCGCAGCTTTGAAAATATTTTAAATCGATAGAGCAGGATCAATTACTTAAATAACCAAATTTTCACGACAATCGTACGCTCCGTTTTCCCTAAACGCCTAACCTGCCATCGACCGTGGTATACCCTGTATAGTTCATAAAGCGTCAAATGAAATTTATGCAGCGTTCGTGTATACATATATTTGTACACATTCAGCCATTTATTTCAGCCTCATTTCAGCCTGAGCTAAGTATGCACTCTCTTCCTCCCCCTTACCCTTTGGATATGATTTTCTGTTTTTGCTCGTTTTTTAACAAACTCAAAGAATGGTTGTAAAACGTAGATAGATTGATATACAAACAACGATAAAAGTTTAATTTACAAAACCATTTATGATGGTGTACCTAATAATAATGAACAATTGATATAAGATATTCAAACTCCAACTTGCGAAAAGTTGTCGAGTGCTGTGCAGCACGGGCACAATCTCCACCGACGATGGTGTTTTTAGCATCGTCAATTACTTCTTCTAAATAGTTCAGACGTTGCTGCACAATGCCAGGGCCTACAACATTCGGATTTTGAAGATTCGCTTTAACATGATTCTTAATTTTGCTCCATATAATTTCAATTGGATTTAACATCGGCGAATATGGCGCAAGACGTAACAGAGTGGCCCCAGTTCCGTTGAGAGCGTCTTCTAATCTGCTATGGCAGGGAGCATTGTCGCAAACTATGACCAAATCGTTCAAATTGTTTCCTCCATTGACCCATTGCTGCAGCAAGTCCGCCAACCACTGATTAGCTGCAACTGCGGTGAATGAGCCACGACGTCGCTCCATTGCAACAATACCCGCAGCAGAAATCCCTCCAATCAAATGTATATTAGGATCTCTTGAGGCTACATTGAGTGTATGAACAGCCCTACTGCCAAAACGAGACCTGCCTCTCGTTCTTCTACAAAATAGATTGAAATTTGTTTCATCAATCCAGACGACTTGTTTTCCATTTTGTATATAAGTATTTAGGGATCTGACATATTCCGCACGTTTAACTTTGTTATTCAAAGAATTCATTGTAATTGGTTGAGTGTGAACCTGTTTTATTGTATACATCCTACCCTCTAAATAGTTTCCAATGGTTGATGTTGATATTTGGACTTGAAAATGGTCCAAAACTTTTCTCTTGAGTTGCTTCAGAGTAATGGAACAATTGTTTTCAATCCAACCCATCACTTCATCCAGCTGATTATCATTAAGTGCCTTCAGCTTCTTACCCCCTTTTTTCTTCATTGCCTCTCTTCCGGATCTAACCCAGGTATAAGCTGTTTTGTAGTTCACATTTAATGATTCTGCCAGAGTCACCCAATCTTCTCCACGATTTGCGTATGAAACAATCCTTCCTCTATCCGTATTGGTGTTTGTTTTGTATTTTTTTCTCGCTATGATTTCTTGGCCAGTTACTGGTGTACGGCACATTGGACATAGTGAATTGGGAGCGGCAAGGAGAATTTAAACGAACTTGACGTGAAACAAGTGGTTGCATGGGTTCACTTTTAACACAGAACCTCTCAACATTTGAACACGACAAACGGCACAATTGCTACTGGCATTCATTTTAAGAATACTTTTCTAAACTATGTAATTGTAAGAAGTGCCGAATTTGACGCGTGATCAACGTCTGAATTATATACAAGTGACAAGTAAACAAATAAGACGATTGGCGACTGCATTCCACTATGTAGTCTAAAATACATTTAACCTGTTTCATATAACTGACAAGTTGACAAGTTACCAGTCGACAAGTTACAAGTGTTGGTTGACAAGTATTTAAAAATTTCGTTTCATAAAATAAATTTCGACACTTGTCGAATTAAATTTTTGGCATCCGTTTTTCTACAACTGTAATTTTAATTAAATGTCAGACTTAAACCAAAAAGAAAATAATAGTACTTACTATACTGAGGAGCATAAGTATAGCACAACCTTCGTTTTTCGATATTGGGAAACTTTTACTTTGAAATTGTTTCTTTTCTGGTTGGAGCTATTTTTAGATGTGAACCACGACAATTTCGTTTATTGACAAAAAACTTATTTCTAAAATGCAGCAACATTTATTTATTATTCAATTATTTTAATAAAGAAATGACATTCTATTTGGAAAATTTAGTCCCACTTCTACAAAAGCTATAAAATGTGAGCATTGGAACGAACAAAGACAATGCATAATTTCTATACGTTGGTTCTATACATTAGGGGGGACCAATAGATTTTATTATTTCCTCAATTTTTATCGAATTCATTCGAAATCTTTTATTAAACTCTCATTAAGCTTCCTCCTCACTGTCGCTAGACCACATTTTCTTTTAAATTTACAAGAAAATCGGATGGTGACAGGAAATCAAATCCCTGTCGCTTTACACTAATATATGATAGGAATAAATGACAAGTGTTGTTTAATTTATTTTTTATGAAACGCAAACCTATCTACAATTGTAAAACAGACTTGTAATATTAGGCTAGTCACTTGTCACTAATAATCTACTCGTGTAATTTTATGAAACACAAACTTGTCAAATACCCCAATCAAATTTAGACTACACTTGTTCGACAGGACTTGTCAGTTATATGAAACAGGCCCCAGGTGCCTTTTTCCGCGCTGTACACCTTATCAGCCACCTTTTTGGCTATGTTTTCTATCATCGCATACCGTTACATCTTCGACACGTAGAATATCCCTACGTTCGATCAGCCTGGCTGTAATCCTTCTTCGTTTAGTCCGTTTGTACACAATTTCTTCTAAATTTGTAACATCCTCGTCGAAATCGTAATACCTCTTCGAAAATTCGTCCGGAAGATCGGAATGAGAGAACTGCGGTTATTTGCTCTGTAATCGCAGACATTTCCGCTTTTCCACGAGGATTTGGAAATTCATCGATTTCTTCGCTAAAGAGTCTCTTTCCGCCATTTTGGTTTGTTCTTTTTAGGCGTATCGGATACACGGGCATTGTTATCTCCTGATTTGTTCTTATCTTTGCTGTTTTTAAAAATAAATTTAATTTTGAAAGGTGTATTGGGCATTTTTTTTTACCTAAAACGTTTGAATCTAAAATGGCGTTTTATCTGAATATTGTAATGAAAAAATACAAGGTTTACTAAAATTAAGAACTTACTTTTGATGCAAATAGAAAGAAGTTAAAACCCTTCAAAAACAAGACCAAATTGCAAAATTTGCAAAGAGTAAACTCAAAAACCACTAAAACTTGTTTTGTGAGGTTATTTTCAAACAATATTAATCTTCTTTATCAAAAAAAATCGTCTTTGACTATATTAGCGGCCAGTCAATTTTATATTTGTTACGAAGTGACAAGAGACAGAAGAGGAAAATTTTGTATATCTAACTTCACGATTGTTTTTATTTATATGCAATGTTAAGGTATAACATCATAAATGGAAATAATAGTAAATAGTAACGTGTAATATACAATTGATAGAATGGAAACAAATATTTCCAATAATGTAACTAAAGACGATTTCTTCGAAATATGTCGAAGCTGCTTTTCCAGACAACATTTAACACAAATCGAGAGAGATGTTCTGGATCTTTTCAAAATAGTTCCAGACTACGAGGTACAGAGTAGCAATGAATTATTTAACACGTTAGTATAAAATTTTACGTTTTAGATTGAAATTAACGAAGAATTACCCAACAAAATTTGTCAAGACTGCCTCAACAAACTATCAGATATATCAGTATTTGTGGTAACGATAAAACAAAACGACTTGTATTTAAGACAAATCCTCGAAGACAGCAAAGAACGCAAACCTGTTAGTTGCAATTTTTTCCAAGAATACAACGAAAGCGAGCACTTAAATAAAAATATTAAAATCGAAGTTCTGAAAGAACCCGAAGAAGAAGATGTCGAATCGATTTACACCAAAAACGAGCAATTGTTACAAAAATCAGCCTCCTTCGATTGCGATCAATGCGCTAAAACTTTCAAAAATCCCACGAATTTGAAATTGCACCTCCGATCGCACACTAAAGACACCCCGTACGAGTGCAAAGTATGCTCGAAAAAATTCAGGTATACGTCGAATTTGAAGAGACATGTGAACGTGATTCACAAACAAATTAAACCGTTCGAATGCGAGATTTGCTACAAAAGTAAGTACACTGTGTTATTTATAAGATGTGACATAGGGATTCCTGTGCAAATGTGTCAAAAGTAAGCTAACTTTTTTACTAAATAACGTTAGGTGTGTGAAGTTGGCACCGCAACTTTAGTTCTCAGTAGTTCTGATTAGAGTTCTGGATTCCTTTTGGATAGTTTAGGAGTTCTTTTGTACAAAAAATAATAGTTCTGGTGTTTTAACACATTATTTTTTTAAATAAAACATGCGGTGCTAATTTCAAACCTAAATTTACAATGTAATAGTTCTGATTAGTTTATTTGATGTATTTTGATGAGTTCTAGAGTTCCTGAATATTAAAAAATAATAATAATAATAAATTTCATCAATAAACAAGTATAAACAGTTAATTAATTAGATATATTATCAGACAACCCATAACTTTTTAATTATTAAAATATTCGCAAAATACCATTAAAGTTTCTTCTAGAACTAGTCGAATACTACTCAGAACTGTTATCAGAACTCCTGAGAACTCTCAAAAAATTTTCAATCTCGGACTTATCTCGGAATATCTCAAAAACTATTGTTTTAATCAAAATTTCTCAGGAGTTCTGATAACAGTTCTGAATAGTATTCGACGAGTTCTAGAAGAAACTTTAATGGTATTTTGCGATTAAAACAATAGTTTTTGAGATATTCTCAACTCCTAAACTATCCAAAAGGAATCCAGAACTCTAATCAGAACTACTGAGAACTAAAGTTGCGGTGTCAACTTCACACACCTAATAACGTTCGTAAAAAATAATGACAGATTTGAAAAGATTGTCAAAAAATAAGTCGAAATGGATATTAAATTTTATTAAATTCGTTCTGGTTTAATTAGAAAATGTGTAATTAAGTTGAAAAAAGTCAAACGTCATAAATGTGTCATTTTTATGTCACTATCTAATAATTGTTAAAAGGGGTGGAGATATCTGGAATGGTTTACGCTCTGAAATTTAAATATTTTAGCGGGAAGTAATGTGGTTCAATCCCCGCGCAGTGAAGACATTTTTTTCTTTTTTTTTTGGTTTTTTTCTATTTTTGTCTAAAAACTGTTAAATAGAATTATTTAAAATAAGACGAGCTTATTTGAGACATAATTTTATTTTTATTTAAATAAAAGCTCCGACAAGTAAGTGTCAATTTTAATAACGCAAAATCTCGTTAGTCGGTAGAGCCTTTAAAATGATGCCATATTTTTATTCTTGACAAAAAAAAACATTAAAAAAACAAAAAATGCCAAAGAAAAAAAGAAAAAAAATTTAAGCACTGCGTGGGATTGAACCAGATTCCTTACCGCTGAATTTTTCAAACTTCAGAGCATAAACCAATCCAGACATCTCCGCCCGTTTTAACAATTATTAGATAGTGACATATGACGTATGACTTTTTTCAACTTAATTATACATTTTTTTTATTAAACCAGAACGAATTTAATCAAATTTAATATCCATTTCGACTTATTTTTTGACGATTTTTTCAAATCTGTCATTATTTTTTACGAACGTTATTTGGTAAAAAAGTTACCTTGAGTTTGACACATTTGTACAGGAATCCCTATGTCACATCTTATAAATAACACACATAAATCACCCAGTAAGTACCCTAAACGATTCGATTTCGTAGAATTCAGTACTCAACTAAGAAAAACCGAACACTTTCGCATCCACACGGGCGAACGACCGTATTTATGCAACGAATGTGGACTGAATTTCAAAAAATATTCCACCTTCTACGCGCACGACCAACGACACAAAATCCAGTACGGATTGATAGAGAAAAAACCGGCGGAATCGAAGAAATATCCGAGGAAATCCGTGGAACCGTCGCAATTGAAATGCGATTTGTGCTGCAAATTGCTCTCTTCCAGGCAGGCTTTGTTTCTGCACAAGAAGGTCCATTCTGGAGAGAAATCCTTCCTGTGCACCGAGTGTGGAAAGAGTTTCGTTCGAAAGAGCCATTTGGACGTGCATTCTAGGATACATACGGGTAGGTACTCATCATTAATTGAACCTTCTCATCATTAATTGAACCTTCTCATCATTAATTGAACCTTCTCATCATTAATTGAACCTTCTCATCATTAATTGAACCTTCTCATCATTAATTGAACCTTCTCATTAATTGGAGTTCTCATGTTCTTGGTGGGTCCTGGGGCCTGTTTCATATAACTGACAAGTTGACAAGTTACAAGTCGACAAGTTACAAGTGTTGGTTGACAAGTATTTAAAAATTTCGTTTCATAAAATAAATTTCGACACTTGTCGAATTAAATTTTTGGCATCTGTTTTTTTACAACTGTAATATTAATTTAACCTCAGACTTAAGCCAAAAAGAAAAAAATAGTACTTACTATACTGGGGAGCATAAGTATAGCACAACCTTCGTTTTTTGATATTGGGAAACTTTTACTTTGAAATTGTTTTTTTTCTGGTTGGAGCTATTTTTAGATGTGAACCACGACAATTTCGTTTATTGACAAAAACCTTATTTCTAAAATGCAGCAACATTTATTTAATATTCAATTATTTTAAAAAAGAAAGGGCATTTTATTTGGAAAATTTAGTCCCACTTCTACAAAAGCTATAAAATGTGAGCATTGGAACGAACAAAGACAATTCATAATTTCTATACGTTGGTTCTATACATTAGGGGGGACCAATAGATTTTATTATTTCCTCCATTTTTATCGAATTCATTCGAAATCTTTTATTAAACCCCCATTAAGCTTCCTGCTCACTGTCACTAGACCACATTTTCTTTTAAATTTACAAGAAAATCGGATGGTGACAGGAAATCAAATCCCTGTCGCTTTACACTAATATATGATAGGAATAAATGACAAGTGTTGTTTAATTTATTTTTTATGAAACGCAAACCTATCTACAATTGTAAAACAGACTTGTAATTTTTAGGCTAGTCACTTGTCACTAATAATCTACTCGTGTAATTTTATGAAACACAAACTTGTCAAATACTCCAGTCAAATTTAGACTACACTTGTCCAACAGGATTTGTCAGTTATATGAAACAGGCCCCCGGTTCAGAAATCAGGACTGGTCCGAGTTGTCACCCAAATTTCAAAATTTTACCTGTGCGAAAAAAGGTCATGTCCGAGTTGTCACCCGTCTATTGTTATCCGTTCGATGCAGATTATAAGGGTCTAATTGCTTAATAATCGTGGGTTTTTTTTGATTTTGGGTTAGAAATAGTTGGTAAATGTTTTGCATTGGAACTTTTAGAGATAAAACCAAATGGCAATAATTTACTAAATTTTGTAATTATTTAGTGGAAACGTACATTGACAGCAATTCAAAATTTCCTCCTTAAGTATGGGTCGACATTCTTCGTCCTTCGAATCATTCCATGCGACAAGTAATCAATCGTTTTATACGCCTCATCCCATTGTACATAAATTTTTAAATGTTCTTTTAAATTTTCAAATTTGTGTTTGCGTTTGCGTCTGTTCATTAAATAAATTCTACATACATGTAAGTAAAAGGAAATTTGAGTTTATTTAAATTTTAATATTTTCAGAATCATATTGATCTTATAAAATATATGTAAAGTTCAAAAAATATTTAATGTATCTACCTAAATAAAAAAAAAAACAAAAGTTGGTTACGTTCAAAAAATATTTAAGAATTTTGAACGAAGTAGGATTAATCGAAAACCTAATAGCATCCTGATGTTCCTACCCCAGGTAACGGGTGACAACTCGACCCATAAGAACTGACCGGTTAGAATTCGGGTGACAACTCGACCTCTCCGAGAAATCAATCAACTTTGAATCCTTTTCGCAGGAGAGAAACCCTACAAATGCGACCATTGCGACAAGCGCTTCAGGCAACTGGCCGTCTACCGAAACCACCTGTTGATCCACAAGAACCAGCGATCCTTCAAATGCGACCTGTGCCCCAAGGCCTTCATCCAGCTGGGGCATTTGCAGAACCATTCGAAGACCCACACGGGCGACAAACCTTACAAATGCTCGTTCTGCGAGAAGGCTTTCGCTCAGAACGGTAATCTGCGATCGCACATTCGAATGCACACGAACGAGCGACCTTATAGATGTCCTTTGTGTTTCGCTGGGTTCTACGATTCGAGCAGTTTGAGGAAGCACGGGAAGACTCACGAATCGAACGACGGTATTAAATGTGAATTGATAAGTGGTAGTTGATTGATAATCGAGTACATTGCGAGTTTGTGCAAAATTTAATTGTTCTGAGGGCCGGTTTATCAATTGAGGGTTACCCCTCGAGTTAAAGATAACCCTGAGTTAAACTGCCAAAAGTGTTTTTCCATCGCGGGTCAACTGTTAACTCGAGGGATACTCCTGGGTTATCTTAACTCGCGCAAATTTGGCAGGTTTGTGGATTTGACTCTGGGTTAACCTAAAATTTGCGTGTTTTTCTGTTGTCAAACGCATTTTTTCATTGGTTTTAAGTAAATCCAATGGAAGAACTAGATTTTAGCGATGACGACCAAGACGTTCTAGAATTTATAGGTCATCAGCGGGGGTCCTATATTGTAAGGCCACGGCAAAATCCGTTTGAAGATTTTTTATGAGTATGATTTTTTCGCTCGCTTTCGATTAAAAAATGAAATCGTTTTGTTTGTGTTAAAGCCCATAGAAGACATGGTAAAATTTTCTACAAACAAGTTTTTTTTTCGAATTCGGAAAAATTCGATTCTCTCCTTCTATCCGCCATATTTATTCTTCTCACTTCTAATTTTCATTTCAAATATTCAAAACCAAAAAAGTTAGGTTATTATAGTCAAGAAATGTCAAAAACGAGCACAAAACAACGTTGCCAAAGTTTCAACGGCTATAATGCGTATTGCCAACATTTCAGCATTTCGTGGGTTTGCTAGCCCAGGGTTAAAAAAGCTTGGATAAACACTTTTATTCTTAACTCGCAATTTAGCCCAGAGTTAGAGGTAACCCAGGGTTGGCTAACTCGGCGAGTTATCCCTCAATAAATAAACTAATAAACAATAAATAGATAAACCGGCCCTGAAAGTATGAGTTGATATTTTAGGAAGTTGGATACGGATAAAGGGGTGCAGACAAATTGCACTGGTGTACAGGGGCCTGTTTCATATAACTGACAAGTCCTGTCGGACAAGTGTAGTCTAAATTTAATTGGGGTATTTGACAAGTTTGTGTTTCATAAAATTACACGAGTAGATTATTAGTGACAAGTGACTAGCCTAATATTACAAGTCTGTTTTACAATTGTAGATAGGTTTGCGTTTCATAAAAAATAAATTAAACAACACTTGTCATTTATTCCTATCATATATTAGTGTAAAGCGACAGGGATTTGATTTCCTGTCACCATCCGATTTTCTTGTAAATTTAAAAGAAAATGTGATCTAGCGACAGTGAGGAGGAAGCTTAATGAGAGTTTATTAAACGATTTCGAATGAATTCGATAAAAATGGAGGAAATAATAAAATCTATTTGTCCCCGCCTAATGTATAGAACCAACTTATAGAAATTATGCATTGTCTTGGTTCGTTTCAATGCTCACATTTTATAGCTTTTGTAGAAGTGGGACTAAATTTTCCAAATAGAATGCCCTTTCTTTATTAAAATAATTGAATATTAAATAAATGTTGCTGCATTTTAGAAATAAGTTTTTTGTCAATAAACGAAATTGTCGTGGTTCACATCTAAAAATAGCTCCAACCAGAAAAAAAAAACAATTTCAAAGTAAAAGTTTCCCAATATCGAAAAACGAAGGTTGTGCTATACTTATGCTCCCCAGTATAGTAAGTACTATTTTTTATTTTTGGCTTAAGTCTGACGTTTAATTAATATTACAGTTGTAGAAAAACGGATGCCAAAAATTTAATTCGACAAGTGTCGAAATTTATTTTATGAAACGAAATTTTTAAATACTCATCAACCAACACTTGTAACTTGTCTACTTGTCAGTTACATAAAACAGGCCCCTGAATGCAAATATTGTTGGAAAACGGGCTTTATATTTGCAATCAACCCGCTGAAAGTCATATAACTCAAGTCAATAAATTCCTGTGTTTACAAAATTCATAATTGTCATAACTAAACACATCAAATTTCCTTTAGAAACTTAAAATATCCCCAATAGAACAATCCTCGTAACAATGGATTCAGTGTTTTTTCACCAAGATAGATTCGAATTACTTGTAGACGCCAGAGGGTTCAGACCAGAAGATATAAAATGCAGAATGACACCTAATCTCGTCGAGATTTTGGGACAAAAACAAGAAAATTGCTCAATGGGTAAGAAAACTATGTCCCTATCGAGAAATTATCAACTTCCACAAGCAGTTAAACCGGAGGAAGGAAATTGCTGTTTCTCTATGGAAGGTGTTTTGTTGATTACTGCTCCTTGGCGTTGATGAATTTAAATTGAATAGATAAATAGTTATTAAAGGGTTCTAACATCTCCTGTTAAATTCCTGATAAGCGGGAGTTTAAAATGAATCCATAAATTGCTGTAGTTTTAGCTGGAAACTCAAAACTTCAAGCAGGAATGGTATGAAGTAAATACTTACTAAACTGCGTTTATTTACGAAATTTATAAAATGCGAATTTACTTTTATAAAGCTCACTGAAATAAGACTTTTTAAACTAATGTTATTACAAATTTGAAAAATTAAAAAACTAAATATGTGTATTGCAAAGAATAATTTATTGGATTTACTACATAAATTTAGAGATGGTAAATTTATTCACTTTTGCACCGAGGAGTAAATATTGTATACATATTATTCTAAATTTACTAATTCAAACAATTTTAAGCATTATTTTTAATTCCCGACCGCCTTAAAGGAGTTAAAAAATGTAAAAAAAACCTCCAAAATCTTTGTAAAGTGAAAATATACGGCTTTATTACTTACATTCACTCTGCTTCTTATAAAAAATAATAAAATGAGTGCAACAAAATGCAATAAACCGGTGCATAAATATCCGCATTTTATCTAATGTCGAATGGTTTGTGTAATTCTAATGTTTTAACAAATATATATTTTTATTTTTACTAAGTAGAACAAAAAAAACTTTATAAAATAAATGCCGTTAATCACAGAATTCTATAGATATTGCTATAAAAAATACTAACAATTTTCACTTAAAAGAATCTAAAATATATCAAATAATATACAGTGTGTCCACGGATGGGGTTGCCTATAGAAGAAAAATTTTTATTACTCATTTTACGACAAAAAGTTATTGTTTATAAAAATGTTTGCTTCTTTTAAAAATGAGAAAAACACTGAAAAATCTTAGATTGGATCTACAGGGTGTTGCCAAATTAAGAAAACATGAAAATACCTCAAGAGAGAAGTAACATTATTTTTTATTGTACACAAAATTTTTATAAAAGAAAGTTGTTTATAATCTAAAATAAAGCCTGAATACAAATTTGCAAACTTAAATTCAAATTTTGTGTGTCCCTAGATAAAGTTGACCAGGTAAGAAAAATGGTTATTATTAATTTTACGACGAAAATCCATTCTTTATAAAAAAATTAACTTGTCGAGAAAATGAGATTCACATATCAAAACATTAGATAAGATGTATAGGGTGTTAGTAAATTAAAAAACAGGAAAAAATTTCAAGAAAGAACGAAAGATAAATAAATTTACAAATTAAATTTATAAATTTGTGTTCAGGCTTTACTTTGAATTAAAAGCAATTTTTTTAAATAATAGTGCAAGATAATAAATAAATGGTCTTGATATTTTTTCGTGTTTTCTTAATTTACTAACGCCCTATACATCTTATCTAATGTTTGGTATGTGAATCTCATTTTCCCAAGAAAATTTTTTTATAAAAAATTACTTTTGGTCGTAAAATTAATAATCATTTTCTCCTCTGGTCAACTCCATCCGTGGACACACAAAATTGGAATTTTAATTTGAAAATTTGTATTCAGGCTTTATTTTGGATTATAAACAACTTTCTTTTATAAAAAATTTGTGTAAAATAAACAATGGTACTCCTCCCTTGAGGTATTTTCATGTTTTCTTAATTTGAAAACACCCTGTAGATCCAATCTAAGATTTTTCAGTGTTATTCTCATTTTTAAAAGAAGCAAAAATTTTTATAAACAATGACTTTTTGTCTTAAAATGAATAATAAAAATTTTTCTTCTATAGGCAACCCCATCCGTGGACACACTGTATTAATCACGTAGGAATATTAATTCAAAGAAAAATCTCTAGATAAACAAAAACAATAAAAATCAAAAAAATATCTCCTTAAAAAAGTAATACTAGTAATACTTCAAATTATATCACTGGTGCCATAAAACATATGTATAATTATATAAAAAAAAATTATAAATATAACAAATACATAAAAAATAAGCTGCATGCACGCGAGCGCAAACTGAATGTATATCACAAAAATAATAGCTTATAAAAAAAAAATCCAAAATCCGAATCAGTTTCTGAAATTTTAGAATGCAGCTTTGGCGGATTTCGCTCCGGGCCGGTTCCTACGGAAGAAAACAATCAGTCAGTGAGTTTATCATAAAACGGTTCTGAACTTGCAAATTCAATTTTTTTCTCGAAGTTATTTTTAGGGGAACGATTCGACACTTGCGATGATTTTGCCTATCCGGCGATTTCTTCAAATACCCGAGCCTTACCAATATATCTATTACACTGTTTATTTTTACCATATTGAACAACCATACCATCATGTTTACTACACTGAAATTTAATGAAGTAATATCGTGTAAATCGGGCGACTCCTATCCTGCTAATATTTCAATCGTACTGCAATTGTTGTACTCGATTCAAACCAAACTCTAAATCTACTCTAATGCCCGATTTCACCAACATGTTGTTAGGTATTTCCTAACTAGGTAATTTCTAAGTTAGGAATTATTTAAATCGAATACTTAGCTAAATCGAATTTCACCAACATTAGAAATCCTTTACTAAGAAATACCTGGGTAAAAATTTGATTTTGACAATTTTTTGAATTTTATTGATAGCATTGGCTAATTTTGATGTGTAAACCGAATAAGCGGAGATCGAAATTGAATATGTTGAGAGAAAAGAAGAGATTTTGACGATCCGGGCCATCTTTAAATTATGTTAGTTATTTTTAAATCTGCTGAAAATGTAGTTTGTACATTATTAGAAAAATAACCTTTCCGATTTGTAAAATATTTCTACATCTTCTTCTCCAGGACAATGGATCTTTACATGCATGTGTATGGTCAATAGTTCCAAAAACTTCCTGTGCATCAAATTAAAAATCATCTTCAATTCTTTCTAATATTTGTAATGCCATATTTTTATACAGTGTGTCTACTTAAGTTCGCACCATATGGAAAACTTTTTTTATTATTAATTTTACGAAAAAAAGTTATTCTTCATAAAAAGTTCTGCATGTTTTAAAACCTAAAATACAACCATCAGATAACAATTTTTTTTAATCCGTATACGAGGTTTGTCAAAAAAATGTGTTTTTTGCTCAAGAGTAAAGTACCTTTATTTTTAAAAATATCGGAAATTGTTATTAAGAAAAGTTGATCAGGACTAAAATTACAATTACGTTCAAATATGTAATTACATCCAATTATAAGTAAGTAATCTATTTTTCTTCTTTCAACTATCAACACCTAGCAATGTTTTTATGTAGTCGATAATTATTGTAAAATAAATTATTTTGTTATCATTTATTTCAATGCATAATCAAACTAATGCAACATAGAGGTTAAGAAATGTAAATGTAATCAAATTTTTAACGAATAAAGAGATAACAGATAACAATTTCCAATATTTTCAAAAATAGATTTACTTTACTTTTGAGCAAAATTCATATTTTCTGACAAACCCCGTATACGACTGAAAAAAATAGATATCTGATGATTGTATTTTAGTTTTTAAAACATGCAGAACTTTTTATGAAGAATAACTTTTTTTCGTAAAATTAGTAATAAAAAAGTTTTCCATATGGTGCGAACTTAAGTAGACACACTGTATAAAAATAGGGCATTACAAATATTAGAATGAATTGAAGATGATTTTTAATTTGAAACACAGGAAGTTTTTGGAACTATTGACCGTACACATGCATGTAAATATCCATTGTCCTGGAGAAGAAGATGTAGAAATATTTTACAAATCGGAAAGGTTATTTTTCTATTAATCTACAGACTACATCTTCAGCAGATTTAAAAATAACAAACATAATTTAAAGATGGTCCGGATCGTCAACATCTCTTCTTTTCTCTCAACATATTCAATTTCGATCTCCGCTTATTCGGTTTACACATCAAAATTAGCCAATGCTACCAATAAAATTCAAAAAATTGTCGAAATCAAATTTTTACCTAGGTATTTCTTAGTAAGGGATTTCTAATGTTGGTGAAATACGATTTAGGTAAGAATTCGATTTAAGTAATTCCTAACTTAGGAATTACTTAGTTAGGAAGTACCTAACAACATGTTGGTGAAATCGGGCATAAGAAAATTAAATTTTCCACTAATTATTTACCTATAATTATGCATATCGACCATCATTTTAGTCGCCTGCTTGTATTTTCCCTCTTGCTCCAATTTGGAAGATAATGTTCTACCGATGGTGTGAGAGGGCATTTTCACCACGATGCGACTGTTCTCCATTTCCTTTTTCATCACATCGGTGACGATTGATTTTATTTGAGGACATACAGCAGGCGGAGTGTAATCCTGTGTGGTCCTTAAAGGCATGTCCAGCTTCAAATCTAACACATTTTCCCCCTGGAAATGTTGAATGAAATGTTTTATTAGAACGTTGAGAAATCTAGCACACGAAGATGTTCGGAAGATGCAGGAGTTGTGTGTATTGAAGAGGTCTAATATACAGGGTGGCACATTAGTATGTTACTAATGTACCTAATATTCGCCATAGCATGACATAAAAACAATTTTTAATCCCATGAAGATACTCTCTTCACTTACAAGGTGATCCACTTGAACGTATAAAAATAATTACCACGAAATAATTAATAGAAATAATTACAAGAAATCTTAAAAATTAACCATTATGATTTAGTCCAAAATTTCTTTGAATATAAAAAATAAATTGCCACCCAGCATGACTTAAATTCGTTGTCAAAGTATATACAGGGTGGCACATTAGTATGGAAAAGCTCAATATATCTGTTATTGTAGAAAATATTAAAAAAACGTCATTACAAAAGTTGTAAATCTTTTTAAACTGCACATTTTAAAATTAGTTACATTCATACAGAGTTTCCCGTTTTTCCGTAATAGATCAAACTTATACTTTTTTAAATGGAACACCCTGTTTTTTATTTAAAAATTGAATTTAGCTCGTTTTCAGCTTTCCAAAAATATAATTTTGTATAACGTTATACTGAGTGGTTTAAAAGTTATGACCACTTTTCCACGAAAATCGTACTAAGTTTACCACTCTGTAGAAACTAAATGGATTGAATTGAAAATAAATTTCAATTTTGACAACATTGCAGATATCCTGAAAATGTACTACAAAATAAATATTTTTCTTTAATTTTAATCATACTGCTTACAGGGTGGATCCAAACGCAAAAGTAACATTTTCTCTGTTAATTTAAATGGATCACCCTATATTTTATATCGTTAACAGGAAGTATTTTTGAAGTACTTTCATTCTTAATAACCATTCCCTATACCTAAAGTTAACACTTTTCGAGATAAATCACTTAAAAAAATTAGAACTTAAAATTGAAGAAAAAAAAATTAACCTTTCCTTTTTATAATAACCGAAGTTCTGGTAAAAATTGTCAATACCTAATAAACCTTCCCTGTACCTAAATTTGATATTTTTCGAGATATTTCAATATTCTTTAATTGGACTCACCTATCACCAGATACTAATCGCTAATCGTGTAGGTACTAATAATAACTTTATTGTGTCTATTGCGACTTATAACAATTGCTAATACCAATTATTAATAATAATTTGGTCCATTTTGTTCATTTAGCCGTACGATTGAGACAATCTAGACATTTTTCAAAGGATTTTTTGTTAGGTTGTATTCCTCAAGGATATCTCTCATGACAAATCCTTTTGGCAAGCCAACAAATTCTCTAAACTTTCTCTTAATACCCAAATCATAACCATCAATAATTGTTCAATAGAAAAATTCATTTTGTATTCTAATTTTTACAAATTGTGGAGACAATACCGACAAATCATACCAGATAGTATTTAATTGACGTTTCTTACTTCTTTCTGTAAAGTGTACTTCGATCAAAAAGAAACCTTAATTTTTTTTTCTTCAATTTTAAGTTCTAATTTTTTTTAAGTGAATTATCTCGAAAAGTGTTAACTTTAGGTATAGGGAATGGTTATTAAGAATGAAAGTACTTCAAAAATACTTCCTGTTAACGATATAAAATATAGGGTGATTCATTTAAATTAACAGAGAAATTGTTACTTTTGCGTTTGGATCCACCCTATAAGCAGTATGATTAAAATTAACAAAAAATATTCATTTTGTACATTTTCAGGATATGTTGTAAAACGTGAAATTTATTTTCAATTCAATCCATTTAGTTTCTACAGAGTGGTAAACTTAGTACGATTTTCTTGGAAAAGTGGTCATAACTTTTAAACCACTCAGTATAACGTTATACAAAATTATATTTTTGGAAAGCTGAAAACGAGCTAAATTCAATTTTTAAATAAAAAACAGGGTGTTCCATTTAAAAAAGTATAAGTTTGATCTACTACGAAAAAACGGGACACTCTGTATAAATGTAAAAATAATTTTAAAATATGCAGTTTAAAAAGATCTACAACTTTTGTAATGACGTTTTTTTGATATCTTCTACAATAACAGATATATTGAGCTTTTCCATACTAATGTGCCACCCTATAGATTTTTACTTACTCTATATTTAGGAACGTTTTGGCTCATGTGCAGGGCAGTATCCGAAATGGGCCTTCTATAATTGTGAGCTGAAGGCCTATCGGCGGGGTTTATGTGGATTTTTTCTTTTCTAAGCACCCAATTGTCCAGATTTTCGTCGAATTGGGCCAAATTGATGAGTCTCGAGCGTTCTTCGGTCGGTACGAAATTATCGATGATCAGAAACCATTTTCTCAAGTTCCTGCAAAACGATATTAAATTAAATCACTAATGAAACGTTATACAGGGTGTTTCACAACTTATCCGACAAATTTTAACCACATATGCACTGTTACGAGAGAAGTTCATTTCCCAAAAAAAAAATGTAATAAAAGTCTTACAGAAATCGAGATAATAAAATAATAGTTTAACAGTTCAATTACTTATACAAGATGTTCAAAATTGTTCCCATTTACTGCAATGCAAGCTTGGGTGCTTGTTTTTTTTTGTTTTAACGATTGTTTTATTTATTTATTTATTTATACATATAAAACTACAAAACAACATGAAGTTGGTACAGTAGAGCAAAAAGAAAAAAATATAACATTATATAGATATTAAGAATATACAAAATAAATGATAAGGTAAAGATCTAGAACTCTAGAAATCTAGTTAGAAATAAATGGAAGAAAATAAGCGATCGATTATTTGTTTAAATATTTCTTTATTTCTTTATTTCGTTAAATTATTTCTAAATATTTCTGTCCATTCTTTTTTAAATTTCTCAAAGAATTTGGAAGTTCATTAAAGTTTTTAAAACAACTGTAGCTTGGTAAATTTCTGCCTTTTTCACTTCTCACTTGATATTGAATTTCAATTCTATCTGCATTTCTGGTGTTGTAGTTGTGGATTTGTGAAGTAATTTGCTACAGTAAAGTATTAAGACAAAATTATGAACGCAAAATGCAGTATTTATTTTTCAATTTTTTGTTGAAACTCGGGTTTATAATTTTATTTCTGTAAGACTTTTATTACATTTTTTTTTGGGAAATTAACTTCTCTCGTAACAGTGCATATGTGGTTAGAATTTGTCGGATAAGTTGTGAAACACCCTGTATATTGAATTTGAAATACACTTACATTGCAGTCTCGTCGTTGGCTTCTTCGATTTCCTGTCTGTCTTTCACGTACACCTCGTGATTGTCGCGAATCTCTTGTCTGATCGATTGCAATTTATTGTTCAGCCTTTTCAATTTGTCCCTTTTGAAATCGACTTGTTGTTGCAAACTGGCGAACACCTGCTTCAATTCCGTGCAAGTCTCCTCTTCCAGTTCCAGCTTCTGTTGCATTTCTATCTCGCGTTTCTGCAGTAGCAAATTCGTGGTGATCAATTCACTATATATTCGCCAAAAATATACAAAGTGTCCCAATAGTGCGGTAAAGCAAATTTACTCAGTTATTATAATAGATACGAAAAAATGATAATTAGGAAAAATGTTAAGCACCTTTAGGCGCACAATTTAAAATTATTTCGAAATATACAGGGTGGCCCATAAATCGAAGCCATACCAAACATACCTTTTTTTTAAAGGCAATGATATATTTTTTATTTCATATTCGATTTCAGCTCGTTTTCACTAGTTTCTCAATATACGATTTCATATGACTATACTGAGTATTTAAAAAGTTATGGCCATTTTTATGTTCAAATCGTCATGACTTCAAGGCCCTGTATATCAGAATATGTATCAGATAATGTGAATTTTTCTCTGTCAGCACTTCTTGAAAATGGTCTATTTTCACAAAAATTAGTTACATTTCAAAAAAAATTACGATTTGTATACAGGGTGAGTCAAAACGCAAACATAATAATTACTCGCTTAATTTAAATGGAACACCCTGTATTAATAATATCTAATGGGAAGCCTATTTCTTACTGAATCATTTTTCATAACATTTCCCTATACCTAACTGTCACCGTTTCTGAGATATTTTCAGTTTTATTAAAAAATGTCCAGTTTTTGATATTATAATTTCATTTTGATCTAATTACCAATGATGTTGTCGACCTTTTTTTGCAAAATAATAGTAGAAAATGTAATATCAATTAATTAACGATCATTAACTACCCGAAATATTTGGTAATTTTTAAATTAAGCTCTAAATTATCATACTTTTAATTTAATCTAGTTACCTCTATGACGTCATCATTTACGAACTATGCGAATTTTACTTATTAAACTCGTGTCACTTTAAATTATAGAATAACTAAAAATTTAGGGTACCTGCTAATGATATATGATTAATCAATTATCGATATTAAATTTTCTAACTATTATTTAGCAAAAAAAGGTCGACAATTATCATTGGTAATTAGATTAAAATGAAATTATTATCAAAAACTGGACATTTTTTAATAAAACTGAAAATATCTCAGGGTATAGTTACAGGGTATACTGACAGTTAGGTATAGGGAAATGTTATGAAAAAAGATTCAGTAAGAAATAGACTTTCCATTGGATATTATTAATATAGGGTGTTCCATTTAAATTAAGCGAGTAATGATTATGTTTGCGTTTTGACTAACCCTGTATACAAATTGTAATTTTGTCAGAATGTAACTAATTTTTGTGAAAATAGACCATTTTCAAAAAGTGCTGACACAGAAAAATTCACATTATCTGATACAGATTCTGATATACAGGGCCTTAAAATCATGTCGATTTGAACATAAAAATGGCCATAACTTTTTAAATACTCAGTATAGTCATATGAAATCTTATATTGAGAAACTCGTGAAAACGAGCTGAAATCGAATATAAAATAAAAAATATATCATTGCCTTTAAAAAAAAGGTATGTTTGGTATGGCTTCGATTTATGGGCCACCCTGTATATTTCGAAATAATTTAAAATTGTGCACCTAAAGGTGCTTAACATTTTTCCTATTTATCATTTTTTCGTATCTGTTATAATAACTGAGTAAATGGGCTTTACCGCACTATTGGGACACCATGTATACCTAACCGAATGTAGCTTGACACTAGAACATTGGAAGAAAGTTGGACAAAGGACAAAGTTAGAGAAAAACGGAATCTCTCACCACCAGAGAACTACTTAAATACAATAATAGGATGAATGTAAATACAGGTCGTACGAACTGATCCGCTGCAAGCATACAATGACAATTATGAGATAGCTAATTGAACTTTTTCTATGTAAGGAATAAAGAGAGCATACGAAATAATCACGCCCGCTATCCCCGCTATTCGCTAGTGGACGAAGCGAAGCGAATTGACGAATTCTAATATCGGTCGGCAACCGATAAACAAGTTTCTGTTCTTTACTATCTTATAGTATTGTTTGAGATTCTAATTCTAATGCTTGCAGCGGAATAATTCGGACATACGGTATACACTTTAGGTACTACAGTTCTCCTTTGTTTACATTTTACTATAGCACATCCAACTGCCAAGCTACATTCGTGAAAGTATATACCACCAACAAAAACCCTAATAAAAACCCACCTTCCTAGCGGCGATCTCGGCCCTCTGCTGTTCCAATTTAACCTCGTTCTCGTTGACGCTATCGACGATATTCTTGCCGCCGTGCACCATCTGCTTCTCCAAATTCTTCAGTTGCTTCGTCAGCTCGTCCACCTCCATCTTGCCCAATTCGAGTTTCTTCGCCTTCTCCTCGACGGCGTCGGCGTCGTCGTCGTCGTCGGAATCGGTGGCGTCGGCGTCGGCGCCGGCGTCGTCGACGGTCGCGTCGAAATCGCCTTGGCTCTTCTTCATGATGAGCTGCTTCAGCCGTTCGATCTCCTTTTGAAGCCCCTGCAAACGGCCGTCGGCGATGTCCTCGTTCTTGGTGGGGGTGTTCTTGATGGATTTCGCCCGGTAGGCGTACCTGAAATGACCAGGCAATGTTTTTGCTCAAGAAAACAGTAATTACTATTATTAAAACCTACTTTCTTCCAGTATAAATATTATACAGTGTGTCTACTTAAGTTCGCACCATATGGAAAACTTTTTTATTATTAATTTTACGAAAAAAAGTTATTCTTCATAAAAAGTTCTGCATGTTTTAAAACCTAAAATACAATCATCAGATATCTAATTTTTTCAGTCGTATACGAGGTTTGTCAGAAAATATGAATTTTGCTCAAAAGTAAAGTAAATTTTATTTTTGAAAATATTGGAAATTGTTATCTGTTATCTCTTTATTCGTTAAAAATTTGATTACATTTACATCTCTTAACCTCTATGTTGCATTAGTTTGATTATGCATTGAAATAAATGATAACAAAATAATTTATTTTACAATAATTATCGACTACATAAAAACATTAAAAATGTAATTTTTAGTCCTGATCAACTTTTCTTAATAACAATTTCCGATATTTTCAAAAATAAAGGTACTTTTACTCTTGAGTACAAAACACATTTTTTTGACAAACCTCGTATACGGATTAAAAAAATTGTTATCTGATGGTTGTATTTTAGGTTTTAAAACATGCAGAACTTTTTATTAAGAATAACTTTTTTTCGTAATATTAGTAATAAAAAAGTTTTCCATATGGTGCGAACTTAAGTAGACACACTGTATTTTGTTTATTTGCCCTGATCGAATTGAAACCGAAAATACTGGGCGAAGAATATGTAGAATATGTAGAAAGAAATCTGAATGAAAACATCAGAAAACCGCTTTTAATCCGTTCCCAAAATACCTTCTTCCTCGTCTGACTAACCTAAGAACTATTTAAAATATTTCCTCCGGCATTATTTACAGCTACAGCTCAATTCGGTCTTCCATCGCCGGTAATTATATTATTAGACGATAAAATTTCAAACAAAACCAACTATTTTTGTCATTGGTATTACCAACTGTATTTTGATGGTATCGAAAGTCACTAGAATCAAATTAGTGATTTTTTCAATAACTTATCAATAACGTATCAATAACTTACGGTTCTAAACAGTTCTGAACTTCGTTAGAACTATAAAGACTGGAACCAAATGCTGGTATTGGAAACAAATAGTCCAAATTAGGAGGTGTGTGAAGTTGACACCGCAACTTTAGTTCTCTGTAGTTCTGATTAGAGTTCTGGATTCCTTTTGGATAGTTTAGGAGTTGAGAATATCTCAAAAACTATTGTTTTAATCGCAAAATACCATTAAAGTTTCTTGTAGAACTCGTCGAATACTATTCAGAACTGTTATCAGAACTCCTGAGAAATAAAACTAAATAAAACATGCGGTGCTAACTTCAAACCTAAATTTACAATGGAATAGTTCTGATTAGTTTATTTGATGTATTTTGATGAGTTCTAGAGTTCCTGAATATTAAAAAATAATAATAATAAATTTCATCAATAAACAAGTATAAACAGTTAATCAATTAGATATATTATCAGACAACCCATAACTTTTTAATTATTGAAAAATTCGCAAAATACCATTAAAGTTTCTTGTAGAACTCGTCAAATATTATTCAGAACTGTTATCATAACTCCTGAGAAATTTTGAGATATTTTGAGATATTTATTAAAGCAAATTTAATGCACTTTTACGGTATATGATCAAAATTAATGTGACTATACGAATAAATGTGATATTTCGGTCTTTTTGGAAAAAAAAACAAAAAAAAAAACTTAAAATAATGAAATGTTAAATAAAAGAGAAACTATCGACTTTTCGAAAAAGTGTTATAGGACATTTTTTGTTCAAAATTACTTGTATAATCACCTCCTGAAGTTTGGCGGTTTTTATAGTAGACACCCTGTATTGGTCATTGATAAGTACAGAACTAATCTGGCCTCAACAATATCGATATGGATTCAAAACTGAATGACAAACAGAGATGATTTAAATACAACTCTAACTTCAAACCTACAAATCTTTTAGATGGAAGAACAGAGAATTAGATAGAAAAATAGTATTCTCTACAATATCCTAAAGCATAAAAAACTGAACCAAAAATGGACCAAAAATCTCATAATGTACATTTTAACGTTTAAATTTTGGTAGAAAAACGGCATGCGGGAAAATAAAAAGTTGATGAATACATTCAGTTTTTTATGCTCTTTCTGAATTTGAAATTCAATTTTTAAAATATGATGTATAGGGTGTTGTTTTAGGGTCGGTCAAATTTTATTAATTTTTCTAAATTCGTACCTGGATTTTGTAAATTTTTAATGTGGCAATAAATTGTCCTAAAGGTATTGAAAATCTATGCCGAATATAAAAAAAATATACTGAGTGATTCAAAAGTTATGGGTGTCGAAAGAAATGGGCCAAATTCAAAAAACACCCTGTAACTCGGTTATAATGGGCGCAAGACCCATAGTATATGGGTTTTTTGTAATCCCCTGGGTGACCTCTATATAGGGTTAAAATATTGCCCTTTCCCAATGAAACGGACGCAGGTCAACTGGGCAAAAATTTTATTAGCTTATAATAATTATCGAGATCGACCTGTCTCATGATATAGGTCAACTGGGCAATTTCCAATATTTTTACCTGCCCCTTAATCGCTTTTCTAGTTTCGTCAATTCGAAAATCTTTTTAATGTACATCCAATTTTTGCATACCTACCCCTAGTAGAACGCAGGTATTTCACAATTGTAATTGCGTTTTAATATAAAATTAGGAGGGGTTCTTTGATCATACTAGTTTACTATGCTGTCTCGGTAGATCAATTTTGTTTCCAGTTTCTTCCTGAATTTTATGTTTGAAAATATACATCTATCTGTACCTAAGTACCTACCTGTATGTAGTTACGTCATTTTTCAAAATGACAAATATTAATGTGATTATTATTTAATAGGTACAAGATATCCAAATAATTAAAAGTTTCTCGAATTTCAACTTCAATTCAAATTTGAACATAGGTAAATTAAATGTTTAAAATGATTCTGATTATTTAATCTATATAAGTATTCTTAAGAAGGTAGGTAATCCCTTTGCCCAGTTGACCCTACCCAAAAAGGGGCCAGGAAAGAATCTTTGCCCAGTTGACCTGCCGTATTATAAAATAATTGACCATTTTTTGCCCAGTAGACCTACGACGAATGAAACACCCTGTATAGTCTTATTTGTACCTCAATGTGATAATGGTCTCCTCGTAATTGAAATTGGCAGGACCAATGTTGGCTATCATGATGGTTTTGCTGTTACCTCCTAATGAATCTTGCAATAGACGCGTCAATTTCGAATCTCTGTATGGAATGTGGGCCGAATTCTCAGCTAGACCGTATATAACGTTACCTGAAAATGTGATTATTATCATTAGTTATATACACTCCTGGACAAAATTAACGCAACATCATAAATTTGCCACATTTTTTATGCTATTTTTTGTTTGAATTTATGATCCGATTTGGATGATTTTTTTTTTTTGTATTATAGGTTGGTTCCTTGACAATGTCATCATTTTCGCTGTTTATGATAAAATGTTCCTTTTCGATTATACCGGGTGTAATAAAAATGTAATGTTTTTTTCCGAAAATTCGTATCACTCTGTGGAGTATACTAACAAACGAGACATATAGCAGTTGACATTAGATGGTAGATCCATCTTTTGCCAACATTTTCTTTTTTGGTTTAATTCATTATCTTTGTTATTAAAGGAGATACGCCGTTTTATAGCGTAACATGTTTTAATAGACTGTATTATTCAAAACATTCATTGTTAAATGTTTTTAAGTAGGCTATGGACCATTTTTGACATTTCAAGCGATGTGTCAATATCGAATACATTATTTGTTATCTGTATAACAAAATAATTCCTGCTCGCTTTGATGAATGAAAACAAAATTAACGAATTACTTTATTTCATAAAGTAAAATTAAGAGTTTATTAAACACATTTTTTTTGGAAACGAGCGAAACAAGAAAAGAACATAAATCAAAAACAATAAAATTAATGAATTTATAATGCTAATAATGTGTATGTCCACATCTAATTCGAATCAATGCTCCATTGCAATATGACTTATTGAATAGCCTTCATCCACCAAAGTTAAGACGATTCATCCACGAATCCACCGATTCATTTTTCAAGATTAAAATAACAAATAATGTATTCTATTTTGACACATCGCTTGAAATGTCAAAAATGGCCCATAGCCTACTTAAAAACATTTAACAATGAATGTTTTGAATAATAAAGTCTATTAAAACATGTTACGCTATAAAACGGCGTATCTCCTTTAATAACAGAGATAATGAAGTAAACCAAAAAAGAAAATGTTGACAAAAGATGGATCTACCGTCTAATTTCAACTGCTATATGTCTCGTTTGCTAGTATACTCCACAGAGTGATACGAATTTTCGGAAAAAAACACATTACATTTTTATTACACCCGGTATAATCGAGAAGGAACATTTTATCATAAACAGCGAAAATGATGACATTGTCAAGGAACCAACCTATAATACAAAAAAAAATCATCCAAATCGGATCATAAATTCAAACAAAAAATAGCAACAAAAATGTGGCAAATTTATGATGTTGCGTTAATTTTGTCCAGTAGTTTATTTCCTCGTAAAGACAATCTTACAGATGAAGTTAACGAGAAAGGTAAGAGAGCAAAAGAATGCCGAATAAGCTGAACATATACCTATTACTACTATACCGCTTATAATGGTCTAAAACCCGTAGCAAACATTATACTGTGGTGTGCCTGCTTATTTATGCGCATGCTCAAGTGAAAGATTTCTTGATTGGCTACTTTTGACAGAGCAAATGAAACGTCAGAAACGTGCTAGCTTTTATTTTGGTATATTTTTTGATATATTTTTAAAATCGACTTCGACTTGCCTGTGTAAATATGGCAGGTTACCGAATTTAAACACGATTTCAAGTATTATTTTCCTTCTTTTCTTTTTAGGCCTCAGCTACTCGCTATTGGTCCTTTTAAAATTAACGCGCTTGCGTATAAACGACTAAGCACACCACAGTGGGTCGGATCTCTCTCTTTAATCGCTACGATTTTCTCTCATGGAATGAATAGGGAGTTAGCAGTATATTAGTAATAGGTATATGAAGCTGAACATCTACTAACCCAAAGAAGACAAAGCCTTGTTAATTTTAGTGGCCTCCCTCAACCTGTCCCCGGTAGCGCCCGTTTTGGATTGTCTCTCGCTGCCCGCCAAATCGATCAAATTCAATTTGCCCACTTTAAAGGTCTTGGTACGTTGCTCGGCCATTTCGACGACGATTTGAAAGATGGCGTGCGAACGGGAACTGTGCTCGTTCATGTTGGTGGTGCCGGTGGTGCGATTGTGGTTGCCGATTCGCATCGCTTTTAACATATCTTTGGCGCTTTGGCAGGTCTGCGAATGCAGATTGACCACCACGACGCCTTGGCCTAAGACCTCGCGCAGTTCGTACGTTTTGTTGGTCTTTATGCGCAACAGATCTCTGGAAAAACGATCGAAGCGAGTCGTATGAAAAGTACTTCGATTGTACAGGGTGGCACATTAGTATGGAAAAGCTCAATATATATACTGAGTGACAAAAGTAAAAGAACACCAAAAAATAGTTGAAATTTAACCATTTATTCTAGTTACATGTAGTATAAGAGAAAAATAAACAAATGATTAAAATTAAGTCATCAAATTAACAACAAAACTGTTTCTTGATGTTCTTTTACTTTTGTCACTCAGTATATCTGTGTTATTGTAGAAGATATCAAAAAACTTCATTACATAAGTTGTAGATATTTTTAAGCTGAACTTTTTAAAATTAGTTACATTTATACAGAGTGTCCCGTTTTTCCGTAATGGATCAAACTTATACTTTTTTAAATGGAACACCCTGTTTTTTTATTCAAAAATTGAAATTAGCTTGTGTTCAGCTTTCTAAAAATATAATATTGTATTATGTTATACTGAGTGGTTTAAAAGTTATAACCACTTTTATGTGGTTATAGTTATGAGTGTTTTTCTTATAAATTTATATGATATGAGACTCCCAAAAAGTTGTAGTCTTTCATAAGATGGGATAGACAACAGGTTTATTAAATTAAAATGACTAAAATTTTCTAGTCAAAAATATTTATAAACACTATGTATCTTTAATGGGGTTCTGTCGTAGAACTATTAGTAGAATTTAGGCATAATTGGGCATTAATGGTTGAAGATTATACCTAATTCAGATTAAAATACATTGAAGGGGATTAAGTACCTATAAGTACTATAAATTTTATAGTTTTCAGTGGAATTTACTGTTTACAATTTTACTATTTACCTGAAAATCTACCATTTACAGTCGTCAGTTCTTATAAATAGTTTCCATCTTTCCCAAGTTAACAGTTAACGTTTTGAATTTGATCAGTTAACATTGAATAGTTATTTTTTCGTGAATAAATAAAATGGAGTTTTCGACAAGCCAAAAAGGGAAGAAAGTTCTCGTTTTTAATGGATTCGAATATCTTCATTTTCGAAACCAAAATGGAGTTGATACTTGGAGATGCCGTGAGAATCGGTCAATAAAGTGTCATTCCTTAATGAAAACGAACGACGGAGTGATCATACAAGAGCCATCTAGCCATTGCCATGATTCCTGTCCACAAAAAGCAGAAGCAAACATTGCCAGAAGTCGAATGCGCGAATCCATGGCAGCTGTGAATGCTACTTCTAGAAACGTCATTGGTGATGTTTTATCCGAAGTGAGCGACGATGTCCTGGCTTATATTCCGAAGCCATCATCTGTAGCTAGAACTCTTCGAAACCACCGACAACAGGCGCATTTACCGAATCCAAGTACAATCGAATTTTACAATTCCTGTAAAATATTCGGACCTGGTGCTACACGATTCGGGTATGGAAGATCCAAATAGAATTTTAATCTTGGGAGATAATCAACTGTTAGAAAAATTGAATCAAGGCACTATATTCGGCGACGGAACATTTGATAAAGCGCCCACAATGTTTTATCAACTGTATACTTGGCATGCCAAAGTGGGGAATTCCTATCCACCATGCGTATACGTTTTATTACAAAAAAAGAATGAAGCCACATATGTAGAGATGTTTCGAATTTTGAAGGAATTAAATCCAAATATGGCGCCCCAGAAAATACTGCTAGAACGTCTTTTCCGGAAGCAGAAATAAGAGGCTGTTATTTCCATTTGTGCCAAAGCCTTATAAGGAAAATAAATACAGTTGGGTTAAAACATGAATTCGAATCTAATATAAACATAAAGTTAATGCTAAAGTCCCTTGCTGCATTAACTTTCGTTCCGCTAGAAGACGTAAGAAATATATTCGACCGATTAGCAGAGAGCTTTCCCGATGAAGAAAAATATAATGATATCCTCACTTATTTTTTTTCGACCTACATAGAGGGAGCCGCAGGAAGAAGTCCTCAGTTTCCTCCACGAACTTGGAACCATTATGACGCTGCACTAGATGAATCTCCAAGAACAACGAATTGTTGCGAGGGATTCCACAACGCCTTAAATTCGTTATTCCATTGTAGTCATCCAAGTGTATGGACGCTTTTCGACGGATTACGAAGAGATTTGGCTTGTCACAAGCTCACTTTAGTAAACGCCCAAACAAATAGAATGGAGCCTACTAAAAGAAAATATAGGCAACTATATGCTCTTGTTGCTAGCTCTGTGGAGGAATATTACGCAACGGAAGATAAATTAGCTTATTTACGAAGAATAGCCAATTTACAATAACTTTTAGATAATTTTTTTTAAATAAATTTGATTTATGTAAGTGTAAATATTGTGTATTTTTTCATTAAAAAATGTCTATTAATACAAGTGATTCGTATATGCATATTATTAATACAAATAGAGGTATATTATCGTTCGAAATATAAGTCTTTCGATTAAGAATAAAAAAATTACAAATAACTAGCAGAACGGATATTTAAATTAGATTGATTGATTTTGAGTTTCTATTATCTATAGTTATTTTTCTTATAAATGGAGATATTGGTAAAATCATCTGATTATGACCACTTTCGAAAATAAAAAATAGGTAAAAATTCACTATTTTTTTCAATAAGTAAAAATTTCGACCATTCTCAGGTAAATTTCGACGGTAAATTTCGACGATTTTCAGGTAAATAGTAAAATTGTAAACAGTAAATTCAACTGAAAACTTTAAAATTTCAATCCATATCCAATCAATTACCTTTAGGTACTTAATCCCCTTCAATGTATTTTAATCTGAATTAGGTATAATCTTCAACCATTAATGCCCAATTATGCCTAAATTCTACTAAGAGTTCTACGACAGAACCCCATTAAAGATACATAGTGTTTATAAATATTTTTGACTAGAAAATTTTAGTCATTTTAATTTAATAAACCTGTTGTCTATCCCATCTTATGAAAGACTACAACTTTTTGGGAGTCTCATATCATATAAATTTATAAGAAAAACACTCGTTAAAAATAACCAATGACTTTACATTTTTATTTTTCCTACCTTTTCCGGAACATCCTGTATAATGACTCAAGATTTGTTGACTCTAATAAATTGTTTTTTTTCTGTGCGCAATATGTCCTGTGCGTAATTTTCACCATGCGCTTTTTACTCTGTGCGCTTTTTACCGTGTGCGCATTTTACCGTGTGCGGTAATTTCTCGTGCGTTTATACGACTGTGCGCTATTTTCTGTGCGCTTATTTCCTGTGCGCTTTTTTCCTAGATTCGTAGAAACTAAATGGATTGACTTGAAAATAAATTTCAAGTTTGACAACATTGCAGATATCCTGAAAATGTACAAAATAAATATTTTTCTTTAATTTTAATCATACTGCTTACAGGGTGGATCCAAACGCAAAAGTAACATTTTCTCTGTTAATTTAAATGGATCACCCTATATTTTATATCGTCACCAGAAAGTATTTTTGAAGCACTTTCCTTCTTATTAACCGTTCCCTATACCTAAAGTTAACACTTTTCGAGATAATTCAGTTAAAAAAATTAGAACCTAAAATTGAAGAAAAAAAAAAGCTTTCTTTTTTATAATAACCGAAGTTCTGGTAAAAATTGTCTATACCTAATAAACTTTCCCTGTACCTAAATTTGATATTTTTCGAGATATTTCAATATTCTTTAATTGGACTCACCTATCACCAGATACTAATCGTTAATCGTGTAGGTACTAATAAAAACTTTATTGTGTCTATTGCGACTTATAACAATTACTAATACCAATTATTAATAATAATTTGGTCCATTTTGTTCGTTTAGAACAGTTTTTTCACATTCTGGCTTTTCTTATGCCGCGGAAGCCGTACGATTGAGACAATCTAGACAGGTTTTAAAGGATTTTTTGTTAGGTTGTATTCCTCCAGGATATCTCTCATGGCAAATCCTTTTGACAAGGCAACAAATTCTCTAAACTTTCTCCCAATACCCAAATCATAACCATCAATAATTGTTCAATAGAAAAATTCATTTTGTATTCTAATTTTTACAAATTGTGGAGGCAATACCGACAAATAATACCAGATAGTATTTAATTGACGTTTCTTACTTCTTTCTGTAAAGTGTACTTCGATCAAAAAGAAACCTTAATTTTTTTTCTTCAGTATTCCGTTCTAGTTTTTTTTAATTAGAATATCTCGAAAAGTGTTAACTTTAGGTATAGGGAATGGTTATTAAGAATGAAAGTGCTTCAAAAATACTTCCTGTTAACGATATAAAATATAGGGTGATCCATTTAAATTAACAGAGAAAATGTTACTTTTGCGTTTGGAGCCACCCTGTAAGCAGTATGATTAAAATTAAAGAAAAATATTTATTTTGTAGTACATTTTCAGGATATCTGCAATGTTCTCAAACTTGAAATTTATTTTCAAGTCAATCCATTTAGTTTCTACATAGTGGTAAACTTAGTACGATTTTCGTTTAAAAGTGGTCATAACTTTTAAACCACTCAGTATAACATAATACAATATTTTATTTTTAGAAAGCTGAAAACTAGCAAAATTCAATTTTTAAATAAAAAACAGGGTGTTCCATTTAAAAAAGTATAAGTTTGATCCACTACGGAAAATCGCGACACTCTGTATAAATGTAACTAATTTTAAAATATCCAGCTTAAAAAGTTCAACAACTTTTGTAACGAAGTTTTTTTCATATCTTCTACAATAACAGATATATTGAGCTTTTCCATACTAATGCGCCACCCTGTATGTATCTTACGAACCTGATTTCTTCCATGTAAATCTCCAAATATCTGACGCTGACCAAAAATTCGACGCCAGTGGTTCTGTCGATGTGGGACCAGATCTGTTCGAAGGCCCTCGGTATGATTCCCTTGCCCTCTTCCGTGTCGAAGCCCTCCATGGTGAAGGTTTTTCCGGTGCCCGTTTGTCCATATGCGAATACACAGCCATTGTAACCTTCGAGTACTGAGGCTATTAAAGGTCTCACCGTTTCGTCGTATATGCTTTGCTGGGAGGTACTGAAACAGAACATTATTTGTAATAGTTGAATTGAATAAATTGAAAATACAACGGAGATGCTAGTAGATTTTTTTGTCCGAAAATGTCTACTATATTGTTACAATTTAACTAACAAAAAAATGTATTCATCGAATTTTCATCGTTTTAAAATGAATCAAATATATTTTAATACTAATCATAACACATTTCGATAAAGTGACTAAACTTTTTAAAACATCTGTAAATCAATATTTGGAATTGTCATAGCACAAAAATGATTTACGAATAAACCATACAATGTTTCACATAAAAATATAATAATGATTAATTAATACAGCTAATCCTTATCTCTTACTAAGAAGCACTTTGTATAGTAAACAAAAAGTAGCGAACGAAAACATACTTGAGCATCGTACGGTTAATTTAACAATTAAATTGAGTAAATATTCGCTTTACCTTTCGTCGTAGACCGAATCGTAGGTGAATATCTTGTTTTTCTCGTTTTCACTCCTAGCCCTCGGGTTCTCCACCTCAATGACACCCCTAGAGGGGTACATTTTGACGACACTCGAGCATTTTGCTTCGGTTTCTTTCTTGCTGAGGGGCCGACAACGGACCACAACTTGCACGGATTCATTGCTTGAATTTCTCTGAAAAATTACAGCGAATTTTCAAAATCATAATAACGTTTTATTGTATTTCGAAAAAACTTACTTCAGTAAAAAGATTTTCGTCTTCTGATGCCATCGTTATTTGCAGGATTCAAGGTTAAATAACACCTACATGTAAAAAAACCTTACAATTAATACAAACCGCATTAGGAGTTATTTTATGATGGTATCGATTATCTGAAGGATTTGTTATTTAAATTATAGTGCCATTTACTTTTTTTTTTCTATATCGGCTGCAGCCAAAACATCTATTGGTTGTTGTTTGAAGTGAGATGTTTTTAGAACTGTCAAAAATGGTTGTTGATATTGCAGATCCCTGTAAATAATTGATCAAAAATCGGATTTAGGTTGGTCAACCTGAGTTAGCATTAATTTCAAAATAATTAGTTTTTTTAGTTGTTTATAAATGATGAAACTTGTTTTAAATTAAAAATTAGTAGAGAAATATTAGAAAAAGTCTTCATTATCGTAAAACAATATATTTGTGTCAATGTCACATGTCAATTAAAAAAGCCTGTGAAGACTTTTACAAAGCTTTTATGGTAATTAACATGCAAAATTAATGCAATAATTAATAATCGAAGTGGTGATTAGATTATCTACTTTAATTAATTTTAAATATATTGATTAATTTTTAGATATTTTTAGTAAAAACTAAAAATCCCTATTCGATTTGAGGATACAGTTGGCAGCAGTGCCACGAGCATTTGACATTTAGTCACTGTCAGCGCTAGATATTTCTCGTTTTTGACGAGAGAAAATACTTTTTTATTTGATACAAGGTACATGGTGCTATAAGACTATTCATACATAACATTATTTATTAAGAATCCAAGTAAGTACAATTCCGTATGCATCGCAAGCGTACTATCGCGGTCCCATTACGGCAGCATTACCTCATCCTTGCCTCCTCATTTTCGACGTCTAATGACAATAAATTTCTGCTTCGAATCTTATCGTACGTGAAAAATGCCATTTCCGCAAATATTCCGATCGACGTTTCGCGAAAACAAATGAAGATAAACGCGAAACGTAATCTCCAGTCGTTTTTCCAGAATGTCCGGATCAGCACACAGGCACCGATACAAGAACACTGCTTTGGACAGCGTGGAGCTGCGTAGGCGTAGGGAGGAAGAAGGAGTGCAGCTCAGGAAAGCCAAGCGAGATCAGCAGCTCAACAAACGACGGAATGTTAACGTTAATCAATTTCTACCCGACGAGGATCCCCTACAGGTATATTACTCATTCGTGGGTTCGTTTGTTACACATCATTAGTTTGCGTAATAGTAGAATATTGAGGCCAATAAAACAATAATAGCATATATATGTTAACAACTAATTGTAACAACAACATTTTTGAATGATTAGGAATAAATCGTATATACAGGGTGGTTGTAGTGAAACCACATTTGGAGAGAACGGCAGCTTTATTGGCGAACAAGTGTACGCAGTACAACCATTAACTTGAGGAGAACTACACTTTGCAATTGCTTACTGATCAGTTGACTTGCATTAACTCTCTAACTTTCAATCACTAACCAACCCCAAATGGTTTACGTGGACCGCAACGCCGAACTCTGTCATATCCTTTGCGCACGCGCGTTTTATATAAATTACAATGTGTTTATAATTTGCTATGCAACAAACATTTGCAACCGTAAACTAAAACTCTAACAACAACCCTGTAAGTTATCATTCTCTCAAACTATCCACTAACTACCGCAGCTTACCAACCTAATTCCCCTTGACTGTATCAGTCATGTTGGCAGTTGTCCTATTTGACAAATCCCAACAGTGGTTTTTAATAAAATGCTAATACTGAAGGAGGTGATTCTCTGTCTTAAGCGTACGAATAGTTTCTAATAATTATATTAACGAAATAATATCTGTATGCAGCTGGAAGGTGACACTTCATCGCCTGCCAGTCCATGGATAACGCAAGACATGATCCAGGATTTGTACAGCAACGATCCGGAATTGCAAATGTCGGCGTCGGCGAAATTTCGAAGGTTGCTGAGCAGAGAGCCGAATCCACCTATCGATGAAGTGATACAAACGGGAATCGTGCCGAGATTCGTCGAATTTCTGCAAAATTCGTCCAATTCAACGCTACAAGTAAATATATTCTTCTAAATTGTGGCTCGGTCTGGTTTCGACGGATCTTATAATTACGTCTTTGATTGGAAATGGAGGTGATTTGATTTTAATTTTCGTTTGTAGTTCGAAGCAGCATGGGCGCTTACAAATATAGCTTCCGGAACGTCCCAGCAGACTCGTATGGTGATCGATACGGGGGCTGTTCCTATATTTATACAACTATTAGGAAGCAGTTATGAAGACGTTCAGGTAAGCATTTTTTTCAACTACGAATTATCGTTCATTTTATCGATTTACTTCATTAATTTTTTACCTATTTTTACTTGTAAGTTTAAGGCCAATAATATAATAGCAATCGTTAATACTGTTCCTTTTATAATTGAAACAGAAACTATAGCTTTTCGGAATTAGGCAATTCAAATTACTATGAAATGGTTTGAATATAGTTTGTTTAAATTATGTATGTTGTATTAAATTTTGTACTTTTAATTTATTTTAGGAACAAGCAGTTTGGGCTTTAGGTAATATTGCGGGAGATTCTGCCGAGTGTCGTGATCATGTACTTGATTCAGGAATACTAGTACCACTTTTACAGTAAGTACTCTCTTCTTTTTTTTTTTTGCAATAACCGCCTATACTCTAATTTCAAAATAGTAGGCACTAAATTCTCATAAATGATTGCGATAATGGGTCTCTCCCAGTGGCGTACGGAAAATATCGTAGGCTACAAGTGTGTTTGACGGGAAAATCAGCAGGGGCCTGTTTCATATAACTGACAAGTTGACAACTTACAAGTCAACAAGTTACAAGTGTTAGTTGACAAGTATTTAAAATTTTCGTTTCATAAAATAAATTTCGAAACTTGTCGAATTAAATTTTTGGTATCCGTTTTTCTACAACTGTAATTTTAATTAAACGTCAGACTTAAGCCAAAAAGAAAAAAATTGTACTTAATATACTGGGGAGCATAAGTATCACCACCTTCCTTTTTTGATATTGGAAAACTTTTACTTTGAAATTGTTTTTTTTTATGGTTGGAGCTATTTTTAGATGTGAACCACGACAATTTCGTTTATTGACAAAAAACTTATTTTTAAAATGCAGCAACATTTTTTTAATATTCAATTATTTTAATAAAGAAAGGGCATTCTATTTGGAAAATTTAGTCCCACTTCTACAAAAGCTATAAAATGAGCTTTGAACCGAACCAAGACAATGCATAATTTCTATATGTTGGTTCAATGCATTAGACGGGGACCAATAGATTTTAATATTTCCTCCATTTTTATCGAATTCATTCGAAATCTTTTATTAAACTCTCATTAAGCTTCCTCCTCACTGTCGCTAGACCACATTTTCTTTTAAATTTACAAGAAAATCGGATGGCGACAGGAAATCAAATCCCTGTCGCTTTACACTAATATATGATAGGAATAAATGACAAGTGTTGTTTAATTTATTTTTTATGAAACGCAAACCTATCTACAATTGTAAAACAGACTTGTAATATTAGGCTAGTCACTTGTCACTAATAATCTACTCGTGTAATTTTATGAAACACAAACTTGTCAAATACTCCAGTCAAATTTAGACTACACTTGTTCGACAGGACTTGTCAATTATATGAAACAGCCCCCAGGATATAATTAGAAGAGCAAGGATTATGTAATAAATAAGTAAAGCGATAATATTTCCGAGAATTTAGTGCCTACTATTTTGGAAATAGAGTATAGTAAACATTTATCGGAGAACCAAGTTTATTGACTGCATTTGTATGACTTTATTTTAGAATACTTAGTACGCAAACCCGTTTATCGATGAAGCGAAACGCCGTTTGGGCCCTTTCTAATTTATGCAGGGGCAAAAATCCGCCGCCCGATTTCTCCAAAGTGTCTCCTTGTCTGCCGATACTGTCGCGATTGTTGTTCCACACCGATTCCGACGTCCTAGCCGATACATGCTGGTCGTTAAGTTATTTATCCGACGGTCCTAACGAGAAAATTCAGGTGAATATTGCGAATATACAGTGCATTTCTTTAATGTCCCCCCTCCCCTTTATTTTTTGAACGGATCAACTTAGAAAATTGAAATTTGGGATAATGAAACTAAAGCATGATTACTATATTTTTGGAGTAAAATTGACAGATGAAAATTTCAAGATGGCGACTGGGCGGCATCTTGGGAAATAAATTTAAATGGAAAGTGGGGTCTTGTAATACATCATTTTGAAGCTCCTGACAAATACTCTACAACCCTGGAATATAAAGTCAATATCTGCACCCATTACAAAATGGCGGAACATTTAATAATTACCTGAATACAAACACCTGAATACAAATTATTATCTATTTTTCTAGAAATATTTGTTTTTCTATGGCAAATAGCAATCCCAGCAAACCGATAAGGTTTGACAGGTTATTTTTGGTTAAAAAAATTCCAAAAAATTTAAGTACGACAACGAACATTAATTGTTTAGTCAAAATATTCTCATTTAGTTTTTGGTTTTCCTAGTGTTCAAAATATTCTCTTTAGTTTTCGATTTTCCTAGTGCGCAAGTATTTTCATTTAGTTTTCGGTTGTTTAGTTCTTATTGTAGTTAGGTACCACGTGAACTAACTCTAAAATGGCCAATTCTTGTCCATTGGAAGATGGAGCACCACCACATTACTCCAGACAAGTATTGAAATATTTGGATGCTATTTTCCCTGATCGTTGGATTGGTCGTCGAAGTCCTACGGAATGGCCAGCCCGCTCGCCAGATTTGACACCTTTAGACTTTTTTTATGGGGCTATTTGAAGCAAAAAGTGTACGAAACTAAACCTGCTTCAATATTGGATATACGAGAAATAATTACAGATATTTGTAAAAATATCGACGTTACTATGTTCGAAAATGTTCGGATAGGCTGTTCTTATATCAAAAAGTTCAAGGCAACCATTTCGAGCATCTTCTGAACTGAACTCAGCTTATTTCCCCAAATTATGACGTTAAACGTCGATGTATTCAGGTAATTATTAAATGTCCGCCATTTTGTAATGGGTGTAGATATTGACTTTATATTCCAGGGTTGTACAGTATTTATCAGAAGCTTTAAAATGATGTATCACAAAACCCCTCTTTCCATTTAAATTTATTTCCCAAGATGCCGCCCAGTCGCCATCTTGAAATTTTCATTTGTCAATTTTACTCCAAAATATAGTAATCATGCATTAGTTTCATTATCCCAAATTTCAATTTTCTAAGTTGATCCATTCAAAAAATAAAAGGGGGGGACATTAAAGAAATGCACTGTATAATTAGTTTACACAGCATTCAAAAATCAGATCTACAAATGGAAGGGAGACGGGAAGAATTAGTCTATCGATCAAAAATGTCAAAATCAAGTAATATGATAAATAATTAAGTTACAATAACATTTTTATCTTACAATTTTACATATTTAAGTATTAATTAAGTACATAGACATCTTAATCTGGGGCCGACAAAACAATCCAAATTCATACCAGCAGGATAAATACCTACTAATAGAATTTAACAGTAACTTACTGGTATACAAGTATGTCTTTTATGTAACATTCAGAAATATTACATTCATGACTAGAAAATAAAAATCAGTCTGTAAATTATAATATTGACTAGAAATAATACTATAGATCAAAAAAATGAAAAAATTGATACTTGGCAACTTCTTGGTACTACTCATATTAAAGTGCAATTAAATGTGTCGTGAAATAAACGGAGCTCCTTTTAATTCGATTAAGATAAATTAAAATTCCTAATTGCGATCGAATGCAGGCCGTAGTCGACGCCGGAGTGTGTAGACGCCTGGTGGAATTGCTGATGGCCCAAGCGCCCAACGTGGTATCGGCTGCGCTCAGAGCGGTGGGTAACATCGTCACGGGCGACGACGTCCAGACTCAGGTGATTCTCAATTGCTCGGCGTTGCCGTGTCTGCACCATTTGCTGTCTTCGACCAAGGAGACGATCAGGAAAGAGGCTTGTTGGACTATCAGCAACATCACCGCCGGCAACAGACAACAGATCCAGGTGAGGTGAACTCATAGAGAAATATACAGTGTTGTTAAGTAATTAATTACATGTAATTGAAAAAGTAATTGAATTACTTTTATTGTAATTGAGGCGCTAATTAATTACAAGCTCCGCAGTTATAATTAAATTACTCCTTTCGTTAGAATTACAATTACATTTTACAATTACATTTCAATTACATTGGACACAAAAGTACTTATTTAATATTTTCAATACGCGGAAAGTTTAATTCCGATTGCAAATCCCTAAATAATTATTTAAAACTGACACCAAAGCAAAGTAATTGTGATTATAATTGTAACTTTAATTGTAATTGTAATTACATTCGTAAATTTTGTAATTGTAATTGCAATTAATTACCAATTGCCAAAAGTATTTGTAATTAATTACATATTATAAAGTAATTTTAACATCACTGGAAATATAGAGTGGCAAAAGCATACGGATGCGCGTGAAAATAATGGAACAAATTGAATTTGACAGATTTGACAATTTTGACATTGTCATGTCATTTAAGGTAGAAAAGTCAATGAGAATAATGAGATAGCTAATTGAACTTTTGTTATGTAAGGAATAAAGAGAGCAAATAGTCATGCCCGGTAAACGCACGAAGCGAAGCGAATTCTAATATCGGCCGGCAACCGATGAACAAGTTCCTGTTCCTTATTATCTTTTAGAATTGATTGTGATTCTAATTCTAATGCTTGCAGCGGAATAATTCGGTCATATGGTATATTTTTATTATGACTTAAAATTTTTGATACTTGTAGTAATAGAAAATTTCATTCATTTTGTTAACATTTATTTTATTTCGTAACGTTTATTTATTTAGTCATTTATTTTAACTTTAGATCATATAAACTATTAGTATATAAGATTTTAACTATATAAGGCCTACACAAGATCGCCTAAAAGTAGTGGATTTCCGTTACTTCTGGCAACGCTGTGTTTAAATTCCGCTACTTCTGGCAACACTGGTATCTACCTTAAATGACAAGTGACAGTATGCGCAAAATTCAATTTGTGCCATCTACGAATACACGCTTTTTCCACTCTATATTCTCTATGGTTGAACTCGGCGATGCGTCGAAATTCGGATTTGTTGCATTTTGTTGCGTTTTACAGGCGGTCATCGACGCCAACATATTTCCCATACTGATCGAAATATTGAGCAAAGCGGAATTTAAGACGAGAAAAGAGGCGGCTTGGGCGATCACGAACGCCACCAGCGGCGGTACGCCCGATCAGATTCGTTACCTCGTCAGCCAGAATTGCATCGGACCGTTGTGTGATCTTCTCACCGTCATGGACGCCAAAATCGTTCAAGTGGCGCTCAACGGTTTGGAGAATATACTGAGGTTAGGCGATCAGGACGCCAAATTGCGAGGCGGCACCAATCCTTATGCCGTTATGATCGAAGAATGTTACGGTGAGTGAATCGAGGCGAGTCTAAAAAGCCGGCTGCGGACTACGAGCGATAATATAATATATATATTACAGGGTGTCCAAATAGTGCGGTAAAGCCCATTTACTCAGTTATTATAATAGATACGAAAAAATGGTAAATAGGAAAAATGTTAAGCACCTTTAGGCGCATAATTTAAAATTATGTATTTCGAAATATACAGGGTGGCCTATAAATCGAAGCCATACCAAACATACCTTTTTTTAAAGGCAATGATATATTTTTTATTTCATATTCGATTTCAGCTCGTATTCACGAGTTTCTCAATATAAGATTTCATATGACTATACTGAGTATTTAAAAAGTTATGGCCATTTTTATGTTCAAATCGACATGATTTCAAGGCCATGTATATCAGAATCTGTATCAGATAATGTGAATTTTTCTGTGTCAGCACTTTTTGAAAATGGTCTATTTTCACAAAAAATAGTTACATTTTGACAAAATTGCAATTTGTATACAGGGTGAGTCAAAACGCAAACATAATCATTACTCGCTTAATTTAAATGGAACACCCTATATAAACATTATCTAATGGGAAGCCTATTTCTTACTGAATCTTTTTTTATAACATTTCCCTATACCTAACTGTCACCGTTTCTGAGATATTTTCAGTTTTATTAAAAAATGTCCAGTTTTTGATGTTATAATTTCATTTTGATTTAATTACCAAAATGATCGACCTTTTTTTGCAAAATAATAGTAGAAAATGTAATATCGATTAATTAACGATCATTAACTACCCAAAATATTTGGTAATTTTTAAAATAAACTATATTATCATAATTTTAATTTAATCTAGTTACCTCTATGACGTCATCATCTAGGAACTATGCGAATTTTACTTATTGAACTCGTGTCACTTTAAATTATAGAATAACTAAAAATTTAGGATACCTGCTAATGATATTTGATTAATCATTAATCGATATTAAATTTTCTACTATTATTTAGCAAAAACAGTTCGACGACGTCATTGGTAATTAGCATAGAGAAATATAGAGTGGCAAAAGCATACGGATGCGCGTGAAAATAATGGAACAAATTGAATTTGACAGATTTGACAATTTTAACATTGTCATGTCATTTAAGGTAGAAAAGTCAATGAAAATAATGAGATAGCTAATTGAACTTTTGTTATGTAAGGAATAAAGAGAGCAAATGCCCGGTATTCGCACGAAGCGAAACGAATAACCGATAAACAAGTTCCTGTTCCTTACTATCTTATAGAATTGATTAAGATTCTAATTCTAATGCCTGCAGCGGAATAATTCGGTCATATGGTATATTTTTATTATGAATTAAAATTTTTGATACTTGTAGTAATAGAAAATTTCCTTCATTTTATTAACATTTATTTTATTTCGTATCGTTTATTTATTTAGTCGTTTATTTTAACCTTAGATCATATATATATATAACTATATAAGGCCTACACAAGATCGCCTAAAAGTAGTGGATTTGCGTTACTTCTGGCAACGCTGTGTTTAAATTCCGCTACATCTGACAACACTGGTATCTACCTTAAATGACAAGTGACAGTATGCGCAAAATTCAATTTGTGCCATCTACGAATACACGCTTTTTCCACTCTATATTCTCTATGGTAATTAGATTAAAATGAAATTATAATACCAAAAACTGGACATTTTTTAATAAAACTGAAAATATCTCAGAAACGGTGACAGTTAGGTATAGGGAAATGTTATGAGAAATGATTCAGTAAGAAATAGACTTCCCATTGGATATTATTAATATAGGGTGTTCCATTTAAATTAAGCAAATTATTATTATGTTTGCATTTTGACTCACCCTGTATATAAATTGTAATTTTGTCAGAATGTAACTATTTTTTTGTGAAAATAGACCATTTTCAAAAAGTGCTGACACAGAAAAATTCACATTATCTAATACAGATTCTGATATACAGGGCCTTGAAATCATGTCGATTTGAACATAAAAATGGCCATAACTTTTTAAATACTCAGTATAGTCATATGAAATCTTATATTGAGAAACACGTGAATACGAGCTGAAATCGAATATAAAATAAAAAATATATCATTGCCTATAAAAAAAGGTATGTTTGGTATGGCTTCGATTTATAGGCCACCCTGTATATTTCGAAATAATTTTAAATTGTGCGCCTAAAGGTGCTTAACATTTTTCCTATTTATCATTTTTTCGTATCTATTATAATAACTGAGTAAATGGGCTTTACCGCACTATTGGGACACCCTGTATAATATATATTATATTATCGCTCGTAGTCCGCAGCCGGCTTAAAGCGATGTGTTTGAATTGGATTGTTTTTTTCGTTTAGGTCTGGACAAGATTGAATTCCTCCAATCGCACGAGAACATGGAGATCTACCAAAAAGCGTTTGACATCATCGAGCACTTCTTCGGTACCGAGGAGGAGGATTCTAATGTAGCCCCTTCGATAGACACGGATCACCAACAGTACCAATTTAGCTCGGACGAGGCGGTGCCCATGGGGGGTTTCCAGTTTTGAATTAAAAAAAAATAATCAATTTACGTTTAATTTAAAAAAAAAAGTGCCCATATTGATATTTTTAAACCGACAGGATTGGAAAGAGAGAGAATGAGAGAGAGAGAGAGAGAGCAAGAGGTGAATGTTTCAAAATTTCAACTCTGCTCTTTTTTTTTTTTAATAGTATAAATCAAATACCGATGGGTGACGAGAAGCGCTGTGAGTTGGTATCAAAATTTGAATATCGATTGGGAAACCTCACATTAAGAATAAACTATATTATTAATTAACCCGGAAAAATACATTAGTTGAGTTTGTAATTTTATTTTTGTGGCGAAATTAGTGCGTTCTACTCTGAATAGTAGTAAAAAAAGTTAAAATTACAGTAGTAATATATAAATGTATCGATTTTTTCTAGTGCTTTGAAATATACAAATTATAATTTTATGTAAATTTCGTTGTTAAATGAATAAATTTGTAATTTTTTTAAGCATTAATTTCGTTTTACTGTTTTGGCATCGACGAGTTTATGAATAATATTTTACATTATTATTCGCGATGTGTGAGGTTTCTTCATAACTTACCTACTAGATTGAATGGTGTAAACAGAAATATTTTATTTAGTGAGACATAAATTGTCAATTCCAAGATCGTTTATTTTCATTAGTTTTTAAGTTTACATTTCGTATGATACACATGGGCCTACTAGTTTTTATTTTAATTCTTTTCCATATTCGGTGAGTGTTTTATTATGAGGCTGACGACAAAACGAATGAATAATATGATGAAAAAGTCCACTTGAGTTCAGAATAATAGCGAGTGAATGTAATAAAAATGTCGACTGAAAGATTATTGGCGAAATATCGGAATGTTACTAAGCGAAAGATGTGAGTTAATCGTGTTACCTAATTGAAAAAAAATATAGTGTACTTCATATATGACGTTTATAGATGAGTTGACAAATGACAATTGGCGTTTGCGCTGTCTTCAATGTTAATTTCGTACAAGTTATCATTTTCTGTAGTATATTTTAGTTTTATTTAACAAACTTTTGTTTATTTCGTATTTTAGTGGTTCTTTAATATTCCGACGGCCGTATATAAACTACTGGACAAAATTAACGCAACATCATAAATTTGTCACATTTTTTATGCTATTTTTTGTTTGAATTTATGATCCGATTTGGATGATTTTTTTTTGTATTATAGGTTGGTTCCTTGACAATGTCATCATTTTCGCTGTTTATGATAAAATGTTCCTTCTCGATTATACCGGGTGTAATAAAAATGTAATATTTTTTCCGAAAATTCGTATCACTCTGTGGAGAAAACTAACAAACGAGACATATAGCAGTTGAAATTAGACGGTAGATCCATCTTTTGTCAACATTTTCTTTTTTGGTTTACTTCATTATCTCTGTTATTAAAGGAGATACGCCGTTTTATAGCGTAATATGTTTTAATAGACTGTATTATTCAAAACATTCATTGTTTAATGTTTTCAAGTAGGCTATGGGCCATTTTTGACATTTCAAGTGATTTGTCAATATCGAATACATTATTTGTTATTTGAATCTTGAAAAATGAATCGTCCAAAAAATTTATCGACCGAAGAAGCAGTAAAAGCCTTAACTTTGGTGGATGAAGGCTATTCAATGAGTTATATTGCAATGGAGCATTGATTCGAATTAGAGGTGGGCATACACGTTATTAGCATTATAAATTCATTAATTTTATTGTTTTTGATTTATGTTCTTATCTTGTTTCGCTCGTTTCCAAAAAAATGTGTTTAATAAACTCTTAATTTTACTTTATGCAATAAAGTAATTCGTTAATTTTGTTTTCATTCATCAAAGCGAGCAGGAATTATTTTGTTATACAGATAACAAATAATGTATTCGATATTGACACATATCGCTTGAAATGTCAAAAATCGCCCATAGCCTACTTGAAAATATTTAACAATGAATGTTTTGAATAATACAGTCTATTTAAACATGTTACGCTATAAAACGGCGTATCTCCTTTAATAACAGAGATAATGAAGTAAACCAAAAAAGAAAACGTTGGCAAAAGACGGATCTACCGTCTAATTTCAACTGCTATATGTCTCGTTTGCTAGTATATTCCACAGAGTGATACGAATTTTCGGAAAAAAACATTACATTTTTATTACACCCGGTACAATCGAGAAGGAACATTTTATCATAAACAGCGAAAATGATGACATTGTCAAGGAACCAACCTATAATACAAAAAAAAAATCATCCAAATCGGATCATAAATTCAAACAAAAAATAGCATAAAAAATGTGGCAAATTTATGATGTTGCGTTAATTTTGTCCAGGAGTGTATATTAAGGTGTGGAAACTCCAGTGGAGAAGATGACAGAGGGCGTTAGTATCAGGTAGTGTTGTAAAATCGTACACACAAATCGCCAATTTTAATTTAATTTGACGACAATGTTCCATATTCGTGCATCTTACCGGAGTATAACACAGACTACATGAAATTCAAAATTACCCACTACCACAAAATACGCCAAGTTTCCAGACCTCAATGTATACGACCGTAAATATTCCTATTTAAAAGTCTTCCTATTCCTAATATTTCTTAAACTTCAGTGTTCATGCGACTGTTCAAAAACTATTTAATTGCCTGAAAATAGAACTGCTGATTATATTTTAATCATTTTCTTGTTCTTGTCTTGATTATTTTCTTGTCCCGCCATTTAACTAAACAATTATCATGGCTTGTAGATTTCAAGATAACGAACACAATCCATTCAAAAATATGGGCCCTACATTTACAAAAGACACGAGAGAGGGATAAGATAAAGAAACGAAATACCCCATCATATCAAATAACGTAGAAATCGTTCATCTTTCAAACAATGCTACTAATAAACTGATTTTACAACAATTGAGTTGAATAAATTGATCTACAGTATACCAAAAAAGTATTCGTACACTCGTATTATAATCATTATACGTGTAATTTAACGTTTAATAAATATACAAATGAAAAAACAACAAAACAAAATCTACATTACAATTTAATATTGCAAAGGTTAAAGAAATTCGTAGTTTTAATAATAAAAAATAATTATTTGTCTCCAGCATATCCAAAATAAGTATTCGTACAAACATTAAAAATGCACATATTTTTTGAATTTCAGTAAAAAAAATAATTCCCTAGTATTTTGTTGGATACCCTTTTGCCTCTATAATTGCCTACAACCGTCGGGGCATTGATTCAACTAAATTCCCTGTTTATATCAGGCTTTATTTTATTCCATTCGTTGAGCAAGACATCTTGGAGCATTTTTTCTATTTTTGAATGTCCCCTTTCCTTATATTCCGCTCTAAATGCTCCCACAAATGTTCTATGGGGTTGAGGTGGGATTGCGGTGGGGTTTTTAGCAAATGTGGAACATTATAAAGCAACCATTCCCTTATGAGCTTGGAAGTATGCTTGGGATCGTTATCTTGCTGATAGTAATAACCAATTGATATCCCAAGTTTTTCAGCGCTCGCATTCAAATGATGGCTTAAAATGTCCTTGTACATAAAGCGATCCATATTACCTTCAATAAAATGAAGACTCCCTACTCCGCTTGCTGTCATACACCCCAGACCATCACATTACCTTCACCATGTTTAACCGTCGCAAGTAAGTAACGGTGATTCATTCTTTCCCCTGGTTTTCTCCAGCCAGATTTGGCTCCATATGATCCAAAAATGTTATACTTACTCTCATCTGACAATATAACCTGGTTCCAGAACTCTAAACGTTTATTAATGTAACGCTTAGCAAACTCCACTCTTAGCTTTCGATTTTTCTTATTTATCCAGGGCTTTTAGCAGGTCTTCTACCTCTATATTCTAATCGCTTAATATGGTATCGAAGAGGTTCCGGATGGATATTATGCCCTGTACTGGATTCCAGTTCAGAAACGATGTATAAAACTTTTTGATAAATGAAATTCTGATCTCGTTAAGTTAACTTGGCAGGACATCCCGATCTTGACTTATTTTCCACGGAACCAGTAGATTTATATTTTTTCACAATGTACTGAACTGTATTATGTGTTTTTTGAACAATTTTACTTATCTCTATATGATTTTCCTTATATAAAATGATGGATGATGACTTTTTTAAGTCTATTTCTGCAGTTTTTCTAGGCATTTTAAGGTAAACTTGAATTATTTTGAAAACAGAACTAGGAGCTCAACCTAATACTAATATACTGGCCAAAACAATAAACAATTTAATATCTACAGAGTGAAGAAATTGATAAAACGTTGCTGTACGAGTACTTATTTTGGGGATAAAGCAAACATTTTTCGTTTTTTTTATTTTACATTTTTGTTACATTATTTTACAATGATTGCAAGAATAGTCTTGAAATGTAGATTTTAATTTGCTAGTTACTTCTTGTTTCTGTTTACTGAACGCGGACTTCCAGAACATAATGCAACTGTACGAATACTTTTTTGGTCTACTGTACATATGAGACATTCCCGTCAATTTAGAGACGACAGATTGCCTTAACTAAGCATTCTGACTGATAAGTTTCGACGAAACCCAGCCCTAATATCCCTGCGCCGTTTCGTCCGATATCTATGCAAGAAATTCGTAGATAAATTTCGCCAATGGGAGAATTAAGAGGGAAACGTTAGGCCTGGTATGGGTGTGATATGGACCACAAATATAGAATACAAGGCTGTGAATTAGTTGTACACTTGTTGGTTGTGAGAGATTTCGTAAGACTTTGTAAATAGCGCTGTTGTGTAAATGCTAAAAGCAATGTTAGTATTATTACACCGTTGGAAATTTAATTTCGCATAATAGGGAAATCAATGTTAAATTCTTAACCGGCTGAAATCCAGTCTACCAGTGTACATTTCAATAGAATGTCGCGATTAATTCTAATAAATTTAATTGTTCTACTGGATCGCACGCCGCGATTTCTAGAGGTACAAAATTATTTGTGTTAGGTATGAGGTACAAAATTATTTAGAAACTACATTTAATAGGTTTTTTGGGGGATATTTCAAAAAAATATGTGTATCGGTAGATACTGTTTTGAAAGAGCAACAAATTTTGTTGAAATAAGGGAAAAAATAATTCAATTTTCTGCTAGAATTATACCTCAGCTCAGTAATATGAGATGTCATCTGTATGACAGGTTTGGCTATAGTTTAGCAGAAAGCGGTAGACTATTTTTTAGAGTTCTTTTATTTTCTGTTTTAAAATTATCTTTAAGTTTATTTTTGGAGTTTCCTTTTTATTATTTTCTTAGAATTTACTTTCTTTTTCAAGCCATTGTGGCAAAAAGACATATCTACATAATTCTATTTTATTATTAGTGATATTTTTTCAATAAATTATCGTTTAAAAATTCTCATTTCTTTTTAATCGACTCGACGTTCATCCATCCGAACCCGTTTTGATACTGTCGAAGTGTCGAAACCGTCGAAATTATTTGATTTTTAATCTAACCAAGCCAAATCGCGATGTGAAGTCCAGTAGAACAATTAAATTTATTAGAATTAATCGCGACGTTCTATTGAAATGTACATTGGTAGACTGGATTTCAGCAGGCTAAGAATTTAACATTGATTTCCCTATTATGCGCGAATTATTTTCCAACGGTGTATGTAACAGGCTGTCTCGTAAACTCCCACCGATCGTTACCTTTAGAAATTCGAATTGGGTGGTAAAGCAATACGTCATTTCCGTTATTTATTGACAGTTCTGACGGATGTGACGTCATTGTGGATGTCTATTGACACTTGAATTTGGAGTTACGAGCCAACCTCTATTTATTATGCTAACCTTGGTGTGTGAATGTGATTGTGGCGCGAATGCTTCCAATTTTTATATGCTCGGGGATCGGGGGAACCCCGGCGTTTTGATTGATTTTATTCTGTCGATTCGTTTTTTTATAGCTGTTAACTGTAGGTGTAAACGTTAATTTTAGATTGTAATTACAGGGTGTCTAAATAGTGCGGTAAAACCCATTTACTCAGTTATTATAATAGATACGAAAAAATGATAAATAGGAAAAATGTTAAGCACCTTTAGGCGCACAATTTAAAATTATTTTGAATTATACAGGGTGGCCCATAAATCGAAGCCATACCAAACATACCTTTTTTTAAAGGCAATGATACATTTTTTATTTCATATTCGATTTCAGCTCGTATTCATGAGTTTCTCAATATAAGATTTCATATGACTATACTGAGTATTTAAAAAGTTATGGACATTTTTATGTTCAAATCGACATGATTTCAAGGCCCTGTATATCAGAATCTGTATCAGATAATGTGAATTTTTCTGTGTCAGCACTTTTTGAAAATGGTCTATTTTCACAAAAAATAGTTACATTCTGACAAAATTACAATTTGTATACAGGGTGAGTCAAAACGCAAACATAATCATTACTCGCTTAATTTATATGGAACACCCTATATTAATAATATTCAATGGGAAGTCTATTTCTTACTGAATCTTTTTTCATAACATTTCCCTATACCTAACTGTCACCGTTTCTGAGATATTTTATTTTCTACTATTATTTTGCAAAAAAAGGTCGACATCATTGGTAATTAGATCAAAATGAAATTATAACATCAAAAACAGGACATTTTTTAATAAAACTGAAAATATCTCAGAAACGGTGACAGTTAGGTATGGGGAAATGTTATGAAAAAAGATTCAGTAAGAAATAGACTTCCCATTGGATATTATTAATATAGGGTGTTCCATTTAAATTAAGCGAGTAATGATTATGTTTGCGTTTTGACTCACCCTGTATACAAATTGTAATTTTGTCAGAATGTAACTATTTTTTGTGAAAATAGACCATTTTCAAAAAGTGCTGACACAGAAAAATTCACATTTTCTGATACAGATTTTGATATACAGGGCCTTGAAATCATGTCGATTTGAACATAAAAATGTCCATAACTTTTTAAATACTCAGTATAGTCATATGAAATCTTATATTGAGAAACTCGTGAATACGAGCTGAAATCGAATATGAAATAAAAAATGTATTTGCCTTTAAAAAAAGGTATGTTTGGTATGGCTTCGATTTATGGGCCACCCTGTATAATTCAAAATAATTTTAAATTGTGCGCCTAAAGGTGCTTAACATTTTTCCTATTTATCATTTTTTCGTATCTATTATAATAACTGAGTAAATGGGCTTTACCGCACTATTGGGACACCCTGTAGAAAAGGAACTTGGAATTTCGATTGAAATGCAAACGTGTCGAGTCGGTTTCGTCAATTATCATCATCGCAGGCGGTTGTTGAAATTTGCAGCAGACGTTCTTGTCATCCCTTTTTTTTTCTAGTACGCTGTGTTATTTGTAATTTCGTTCGATTGGGTGAATACATTTCCGGATATCATCGTGATGATTAGTTTCGTTTCTGCAGCAGAAAATGACACCAACCGGTGGAAATTTGTCTAAAACTGCTGCTGGAACAAACCTATTAAGGGTGTAATTACTTGCCGTACTATTTAAAATTTCTGTATCGATATAGCCGAGGTTCACGACGAGGGCCCATTGGAAGTATCTGGAAAAGTAGTGGTAATTAAAATTTTAAAATTTGTGTAAAAGTATTAGTCGATGCACTCTATTCAATGAAAATATTTTCAACTTTTCTTTACTTCTGGTTATACCGGAAGTGGACAGCAACTTTGTTATTTTAAATGGGACACCCCATATATTAATATATTTTCGAAATGTACGCAAAATTTTAGAGTGCTTTTGTCTAAAAAACTTTTTTCAAAAATGCATACTTTTTGAGTTACTAATTTTTTTTGAAAATTTGACCGATGCAGACCCTTATAAATTTTTTTTACGGGGATCCCTTTAAAGATATGGATACGGTTTCTGTAGGATGGCCACTAGCAAGGTTAAAGGTATTTGAATCTGTGTTAAAAAACTTTTTATTTTATACAGGGTGTATACAAAACATGTGAAAAGTTGAACTTCAAAAATACCAAATTATTTCATTTTTTAAATGGAACCACCCATTTTGTTCTATTTTATTGAAATCAGCGATAAAAAATAAGGAAAGTTCATGTGTACTTCCCTATACCTAAACCTAATAGTTTTGAAGATATTGAATATCTTACATAAATCTTACTTTTCTGTCTTATTCTTAAATAACTCTGTTTTACAAGTTGGCCATGTAATATCTCACAAGTACCAAAATTAATAATCAATTAATTACAAACAATTTACAGATTCAAATACCTTTGACCTTGTTAGTGGCCACCCTACAGAAACCGTATCCATATCTTTAAAGGGATCCCCGTAAAAAATTATTTATAAGGGTCTGCATAGGTCAAATTTTTCAAAAAAAAAAATAGTAATTCAAAAAGTATGCATTTTTGAAAAAAAAATTTTAGACAAAAGCACTCTAAAATTTTGCGTACATTTCGAAAATATATTAATATATGGGGTGTCCCATTTAAAATAACAAAGTTGATGTCCACTTCCGGTATAACCAGAAGTAAAGAAAAGTTGAAAATATTTTCATTGAAGAGAGCGCATCGACTAATACTTGTATACAAATTTTCAAATTTTAATTACCACTACTTTTCCAGATACTTCTAATTGGCCCTCGTCGTGACACACACTGTATAACGAGCTTCACGATGGTATTTAGTTGTATTTTATATTGCATAATTTTATATGCGTGTGCTGGATTCAAATTTATCATTATTTTAATCGAAAAGCCGCTTGTAAACTTACACAGTAATAATAAATTAAATGCCCGTTGTATGAGTACTGTAATTGCATTAAACTAGAACTAGCTTAGCTGCTTTTGATATAGTAATGTTAATAACAGTTCATTGATATCTACCAAGATTTTGGGTTTTAACTATGAAATGAAATACATTCATAATATGCAGAACAGCTTCAAAATAGATCAAGTATCAGAAGTAATTAGAAATGTGGCAATTAACAATCCAAGTTCCAATCAACTCATCGATTTTATTATACCTAATTACCTGAGTAATTATGTATTTTTAATTTGTTTCCTTTACGATGAAATCGAATTTACATAATTTGGGCACAATTTAAGTTCGTGAAATATTTAAATCCCACGTGGGTCTTGATGACTCCTGTAAATTGTATTAAATATTTACCCACAATATTATTTTCTATTAAATGGTATTGTTTTATGTATGAATTAAATTGAATTTATCGGTATTAAATGTAAAATAACGTACACGCATGTAAAATTTCTATCTATTAATATTTCCGTGTATCGCAGGCTGTAAAAAGGCCAAGGGCTCATTTTGTTTACAGTTTGTTTTATAAATATCGTTAGCTTTAAATAAATTTTTGTTTCCTTTTTTGAGCTATTCATTTTTCCTTTTACACAGGCGAGAATAAACTTGATTGATTGGATTTTTGATAAACATTCTCCAATATTTTGAAATTTTGATTATTCAATCACTGTTAACACTAATTGTGCTTGTTACAAGATTCATTGATCTTATTTCTTATTGATATTCAGAAGTTTACTGAACTTTCGTTAATATTCTTTATTCTAAACTTTCTTTCTCTTTCCAGTTTATTTCTTCGTTATCCACAACTTTTTATTCTAACCTTTGTTTTTTTTTTAAATAGTCCATGTTCGGTCTAGTTCCTTATACAGGGTGTTTCACAACTTATCCGACAAATTTTAACCACATATGCACTGTTACGAGAGCTGCACTGTTAATTTCCCCAAAAAAAAATTGTAATAAAAGTCTTACAAAAATCGAGATAATAAAATAATAGTTTAACAGTTCAATTACTTATACAAGATGTTCAACATTGTTCCCATTTACTGCAATGCAAGCTTGGATGTTTGTTTTTTTTGTTTTAACCATTGTTTTGGTGCAACATTTGCTACAGTAAAGTATTAAGGCAAAATTATGAACGCAAAATGCAGTATTTATTTTTCAATTTTTTATTTAAACTCGGGTTTATAATTTTATTTCTGTAAGACTTTTGTTACATTTTTTTGAGAAATCAACTTCTCTCTCTTTATAAACCCGAGTTTCAATAAAAAACTGAAAAATAAATACTGCATTTTGCATTCATAATTTTGCCTTAATACTTTACTGTAGCAAATGTTGCACCAAAACAATCGTTAAAACCAAAAAAAAACAAGCACCCAAGCTTGCATTTCAGTAAATGGGAACAATTTTGTACATCTTGTATAAGTAATTGAACTAAGTAATTTTATTAATATAATTAAGTAATTTTTGGGAAATTAACTTCTCTCGTAACAGTGCATATGTGGTTAAAATTTGTCAGATAAGTTGTGAAACACCCTGTAGAGTATACGTAAATATAACAGAACCTTAATATCATCAATAAATTTATTACAAAAAAAAATACTTATAAATACAAAACTAATCCTAATATCACATTCGAGTATTGCCATGTTTGAATACAACTACTTATAACAGCACCGATTAAAAGTCTCTTCTATGCAAACTCAAGTCCAACGGACCATCGACTTGCATAGCATCTTCATAGGGCTTGTAAATCTTACTCCTCTCCAACACGATGGGATCGGCGAAACTCCCCCACGTGCTCTTCTCGCTCTCCATCTCTTTGATATCGATCAAATTTCCGATCTTGAACAACTCCGACCGGCTGCTCACGCAGCACATTCTGCTGCAATCGCACGGATGCCTGATGACATTCTCCCTCAACGAAGCCTCCAGCTCGACCTTGCGACCCTCCCCGACGAAGTGCTTGTAAGTTTTCACATGCTTCCTCAGGCTGCTGGGGTCCGTGTACCGCTTGGGACAGCCGGGCACCTTGCACTGATAAGGTTTGTCCACCTGGTGCGTCCTGGTGTGCTTGAAGCGATCGCTCGAATTCGAGTAAGCCTTGCCGCAGCCTGCCACAGGGCACACGTAAGGCTTCTCGCCGCTGTGCGATCTCGAGTGGATCTTCAGGTTCTCCGCTCTGGAGAAGGATTTCTCGCATTGGAGGCACTTGTGGGGTTTCTCGTTGGTGTGCGTGCGGACGTGCACCAGCATTTTGTACCTGGAAACGCAATGAAACCCTTCAGACGTCGTTACAACCGTTCAGACATCATTACAACCCTTCAGACATCATTACAACCGTTCAGACATCATTACAACCGTTCAGACATCATTACAACCCTTCAGACATCATTACAACCGTTCAGACATCATTACAACCGTTCAGACATCATTACAACCCTTCAGACATCATTACAACCGTTCAGACATCATTACAACCCTTCAGACATCATTACAACCCTTCAGACATCATTACAACCGTTCAGACGTCGTTACAACGCTTCAGACATCATTACAACCCTTCAGACATCATTACAACCCTTCAGACATCATTACAACCGTTCAGACATCATTACAACCCTTCAGACATCATTACAACCCTTCAGACATCATTACAACTCTTCAGAGTAGAGATTGCTTACCTGGCGTTGAATCCTTTGTCGTTTCTGGTGCAACCCTCCCAGCCGCAGTAGAACAAACCGCCCAAACCGCTGGAGGAATGCACCTTGGACACGTGGGCGGCTAGCTGATCTAAGGTGGTGAACACCACGCTGCAGGACCTCCACCTGCACTGCACCTGCTGGGCGGCCTCGATCGGCCGGAGATCGGCCAAGCGCAGCTCTTTGCGGGGAATCTCCACGCTGCAGACGGAGTTTTCGCTGTCGCTCTATAAACAGATAACATCGTGAATTACTCGGGCGTACAGAGGTACATATGGGGCACGTAAAAAAATTCGCTGGTTAGGAAAATCGACCTCTTTTCGCTGGTTAAATTCGTTTTTTGCCGTAAATCGAAATTAAAAATGTAAAATTTTTTGACAGATTTCCAAAGAAATTGTTTGATGGCCGTTGCCCGTTCGTTTGGTTTAAACGGAACTATAACACCGAAATGACAGATTTTTCGTTATTTTGACAATTTCGTCGATTTTAATGGACGACAATAAAAGAAATTGCAATAATTCGCAAAAATATACGTTTCTTGGTCATTTGTACTTACCAAAAACGGAGAAACGATCAAATTATTTTTAAAAAAACCTACACTAATGACAGCGGCGATGAACAAACTTCAAACTGTCAAAGTTGTCATTTCCGTTACTACGGGATATGTTGACATTTAATTTGATGTACAGGGTGTTTTTTCATTAAAGAAATCGGAAAAATTGATATACGGGGTGGTTTTTTTTTCTAAAGCCAACAATTATTTAAATTTAAATTAAAATATAGTACAGGGTGACGCGGGTCTATGCGGCAGAGCCCATCGTTATTCACAGCGATGTAGTCGAGCTCGCGTAGCGAGCGAGACCTTGCTTATTTAAAAAAATTGATATACGGGGTGTGTTTAATTTCCAAACGAAAATTTAATTCCACCGAGCGAGGATCAGGCCAGCAAACTGTCTTGCGGCGAAGCCGCCCCCGTAAGAAAGGGGTGTTGAAAGGGGGCGCAGCCCCCTTTCCGAGCGTTTAGCGAGTCGATTAATAAAACCAAACGAAGAGTTTGTTTTGAATTCTTAAATAATATGTGGATTTATCGATTTTTCGTAATGTCAATGAACTGCTTGGTACTAATAATGATGAATCGAATAATAGATGAATCGGTTATTTACCTGGGTGCTGTTGGGTGAAGCTGGAGGAGCAGGCGAAGCTTCCAGGTGGTCTTCGGACATTTCGGCTTTGGAGGCGTAAGGGTTGAAGTGCCGGAAGTACCCGAACGGGTCGGCTGGTTCGTAGGGGGCGTACTGAGGGTAGTAGCCCTCCGACATTCTGAAATTCGACAGGATCATGTTTTGATTGTAGCGCGGTTAATTAGTTAATTAGTCGGCGATTCTCTGACGAGAACGAAATTTAAATGAAGGGAATTTTTTCGGTGCGGTTCATTTATAGTGTAATGTTGATGTACGTGTGTGCGTTATCGCTATCAGTTTCAGCGGCGGGTATTTGTAATTTTTTTAAATTTGAATGTAAATTTGGTTTAAAATTGTTGTAAATTACCATTTCTCTAGTAATCTAGTAGACATATGTATATATTCTGAGTTTATCGAAACATTATCGAATGATTATTTTCCAGGAGAGAATAATGAGAGTTAAAGTTTCCCATACGAAAGCCAATTTCATAATAAAAATTAAAGGAAACTTTAAAAAAACAGTTTAGCTTCGTCCCAAATAAAACAAATAGAAAAAACTGACCTTAAAAAACCATTTTTTATATTGCCCTTTATACCAATTGACAGAACTCATAAAATTAATGAAACGTCAATTTCCAAAAGTAATCAAGTCTAGGTAATCGAGTGTGCTGTGACTCATTGATTTTCATATGATTTTTTATTTTAATCTATATTTTTTCTATAATTTGTGAAGGTACGTTAATGATTTCGCTCATTAATTTAATAATGAAATATGTATTTGATCCGTTTCTCGTCTCTTTATTATACATTTGAATCGCAGTCGTCTGTGTTTACTTACTTTAGGATTTTCAGATTAGAACGCCTACTTATTACAATTTCGTTTCGAAAATTCTGTAATTATTGACCCCGTGTAAATAATTGTTCAACAAAAATTACTCTCATCTGGATCATGGATAAAATCCTTTTGTCTGAAATATACGTTTTTAATGAATTAGTTTTTCTGAACTTTGGCATTCTGGGATTTGATATTTTCAAAATTGACAGGTGTCTTATATTGACAGGTGTGACAAACATCAACTTAACGATGTAAATGTATGATTAATGTCATTATTGTCAATATTGTCGCCCATGAGGGTTTAATGAAAATTGAAAAAAACTAACTTTGTTTTTTCGGAAATTTATAAGCGGAAATTTCACCAAATCAACGACATCACCAATGACACTTGGCTGTTATTGTAAGTCACTTGTAAGTAAAATTTTGCAATAACGTCAAGTGGAATTATTGTTTTCACGGATAATTTTTTATCATGTGGAATTTTGTATTGTTTTATTGAATTTACTGCAGGAAATTTACGACTAAGTAGGTTCGCGAACTTTTTATGAAAATTTCCTTTGTCCCCCATGACTTATGAAATTTCCATGAATGGTGAGAAAATAACAGGTTGTTTATGAAAATTGACAGATAATACAGATATGTATGAAGTTTTTGACAGATGTAGTACTGTCAATTCTATCGAGTTATCCATGATTTTCTCATTTAATAAATATGTAAGTATAGAAGTTCTAGAAATATGCAGGGACGTTTCAGCGAAGGAAACCTCTATCAAAAAAATCCCAGAGTCTCCGAGATTTATCGCAGGGGGCAAAGATGTACATAAATTCCTGTTAGTATATCAAATTAAAATAATGTCAACAGAATCCGGTTATATCTGGTTAGATGATTTTTCTGGTCAAAAGAGGTCTGATAACACGAGCAGAAAATACAATTGTGAGGCATCTTAACCGGTTTTAACCGGTATTCCCTTATCATATCACTGCTTGCATGGATGTTTTTTTAGCTCGTTTGCTTTACAATCGCATTTAGATGATAGCCAAAGTTCAATTATTCTTATTTAGGTATTTGGAGTAAATACATTCAAGCTCTATTGGGACCTCTTCTTCGGCCATTGCTTCGATTTTCCAGAACCTTTAAACATTCACTTTTATTGAAATTCTTCATTTGCTTGCAACTCTAAAAATGAACTATTGAGGAATCGAAGTTTGTGCTGATAAATGCATGTAAATGGCAAATGATTGCTCAATAGAGCTAATCTAGTACATAAGATGTGACGTCATTAACTCAGATGACTTGATTTAGATAGGTATGTGTACCTACTTTATTTGAAGGATCAAATCGATTTGACTTTCAACATGACATCTATTTTTCGAGATTGATGTCTTTCGATTAGATTGGATTAAACCGGGTATCTATTACGTGCAAAAATACCGATAGGTACATGATTTTTGTTGATTGTATTTTTTGTTGATATCCTACAAAATTTTAAGTAGACATTTATAATAAAAAAATAATTCATTGAATATACAGTGTGTATATTCAATACCCCCACGGATGGGGTTGCCTATAGGAGAAAAATTTTTATTATTCATTTTACGACAAAAAGTCATTGTTTATAAAATTTTTTGCTTCTTTTAAAAACAAGAATAACACTGAAAAATCTTAGATTGGATCTACAGGGTGTTGTCAAATTAAGAAAACATGAAAATACCTCAAGAGGGAAGTACCATTATTTTTTATTTTACACAAAATTTTTATGAAAGAAAGTTGTTTATAATCTAAAATAAAGCCTGAATACAAATTTGCAAACTTAAATTCAAATTTTGTGTGTCCCTAGATAAAATTGACCAGATAAGAAAAATGGTTATTAATTTTACGACGAAAAGCCATTCTTTATAAAAAAATTAACTTGTCGAGAAAATGAAATTCACATATCAAAACATTAAATAAGACGTATAGGGTGTTAGTAAATTAAGAAACAGGAAAAAATGTCAAGAAAGAACGAAAGAATTTTTATTATCTTACATAAAGAAAGAATTTATTTATTATCTTACATTATTATTTACAAAAAAATGCTTTTAGTCTCTCTTTTAATGCTCTTTTTTTATAAAGAATTACTTTTTTTTCGTAAAATTAATAATCATTTTCTCCTCTGGTCAACTCCATCCACAAAATTGGAATTTTAATTTGAAAATTTATGTTCTGGCTTTATTTTAGATTATAAACAACTTTCTTTTATAAAAATTTTGTGTAAAATAAAAAATAATGGTACTTCTCTCTTGAGGTATTTTCATGTTTTCTTAATTTGGCAACACCCTGTAGACCCAATCTAAGATTTTTCAGTGTTATTCTCATTTTTAAAAGAAGCAAAAATTTTTATAAACAATGACCTTTTTGTCGTAAAATGAATAATAAAAATTTTTCTTCTATAGGCAACCCCATTCGTGGACACACTGTATGTAAAAATTTATTATATTCATGTAAAACAATATGTATTTATGTATACATATGCATGTATAGTGCATATGCAAGGGTATACATTATTTATCTCTTAAGGATTTATAACTGACATTTGTGACATTCAGAAAATGATATAATAATATTATACACATTTAATTTATAAACATCTCTTCCTATAATCCATTAGAAACTGTAGCATAATGTTATGTCTAATAATAGCGTAGTATGTATAAATTATACGATAAACGATTAACAGAGAAGTTAGATTCAGTCAGTTTTTACGGTTTTAGCATAAATTCAATTCAATATCTTTTAATAACAAATAATTATAAAAATAGCCATCGGGAACTGTGGTACCCCGTTTAACCAGTTTTTTCCGGTTACAACCATCAGGACCTCCAGCGAATTATTTTCCTCTCGGTGATATACCGGGGTCAGGGGTCGCCCAATTTGCGAATAATATTACATCCTAAAATTATTGACTCTTTCATAAATCACCGAGCGATAGCGTGTTTGTTGTATTTTTGTTTGTATGTAGATATTGCATTTATTTGCTTTGGTTAAATGACTACTGAAAAATTTGTGTTTTTATCAACGCCTTATTATTGTCTAGTCATCTTGCATTTATGTAGAATTTATTTTGAAGTTTTGATTATCCAACTCATGTTTTGATACTTTATTGAATCGGTAATGGAATTTCGAATCTGGCAACCTTAGCAGTTTTATTTTAATGCCTTAATGCCCGATTTCACCAACATGTTGTTAGGTAATTCCTAAGGTAGGAATTACTTAAATCGAATACTTACCTAAATCGAATTTCACCAATATTAGAAATCTCTTACTAAGAAATACCTAGGTAAAAATTTGATTTCGACAATTTTTTGAATTTTATTGGTAGCATTGGCTAATTTTGACTTGTAAACCGAATAAGCGGAGATCGAAATTGATTATGTTGAGAGAAAAGAAGAGATGTTGACGGAGATCCGGGCCATCTTTAAATTATGTTAGTTATTTTTAAATCTGCTGAAGAGGTAGTTTGTACATTATTAGAAAAATAACTTTTCCGATTTGTAAAATATTTCTACATCTTCTTCTCCAGGACAATGGATCTTTACTTGCATGTGTATGGTCAACAGTTCAAAAGACTTCCTGTGTATCAAATTAAAATCATCTTCAATTCATTCTAATATTTGTAATGCCGTATTTTTATACAGGGTATACCACGGTCGATGGCAGGTTAGGCGTTTAGGGAAAACGGAACGTACGATTGTCGTGAAAATTTGGTTATTTAGGTATTAATAAAATAAAAAATAAAAATACCAAAATAAACCAAAATAAAATTTTGGTTATATTGGTCTTGCTCTATTGATTTAAAATATTTTCAACGTTGCGGCGTTGACACTTCTATCGAAAAGTAGCAGCAACTTTGTTATTTTAAATGAGGCACCCTGTATATTTTTACATTTTTTGCTCCGCTATGCTTTCCGATTATTTTTGTATAATACTTCCCTATACCTATCTTTAGCGCTTTTCGAGAAATTCACTATTTTATTTAATTTTTTATTAAACATAGCTCCATTTAAATGTTTATTACTGCGGTAATTAGATTAGGAGAAAGCTGAAATTTTGGGATTAGCTTAGAGATGCATTAGGTATTAGTTAGCTATAATCAATTTTTTTTTATTTATACAGGGTTGTTCAAAACTTGTCATTTTATCGCTAGATATACAAATGCTAATAAGTTCATTTTTTAAATGGGACACCCGGTATATTTTTAAATATTCAAAAAGATAATTAAATTCTCTTTCAAATGGTATATCATGTTCCTATACCTAAATAATCAGGTTTCCGAAATAAAAGCAAA